CGGATCAGATCCTCAATTGCTGTTTGCAGGGCCCTGCGGGCATTGGTGGCATGACCCTTTCTGTTGTGATATTTACAGAAAGCATTGTCATCCGTTCCCATGAACTGTCCAGAATCAGTCGGGATGGGAATATTGTCCCTCTCGTGCTGATAGATGGTCGCTATTGATAGGACCAGGGGTGTAAATCTCCCTTGTTTGGGAGGTAAAGTGGCCGCTGGGCTAGGACCCAGCCGATCGGCCAGTCTGATCGGGGCAGCAGGCGTAATGACCTTATCCCTGATCATTATCTCCTCTTCTAGGGCGGCATGCTTGCGGGCCCTATCCAACACCTCGGCGTACGCCGTACCCGGATTCTTCTTCAATTCTTTGTATAACTCCCCCGTTCGGAGAGCATTCGTGAACAGGGTAATGGCGGTATCATCCGTCATGTTTCCCACGGTTAAAGTTTCATCCCTCCACCTTTTCAGGAACTGGTTGAGGGTCTCCTTGGCGTTTTGCTTCACGCTGGTCAAATAGCTGAAGTGCCGTTTGGGATTGGCACTGGAAGCAAATTGAGCCAAGAATAACGCTGATAACTCGGCAAAGCTATTGATTGACCCGGGCTGTAGTGTCCCGAACCATTCCTGGGCAGGCCCCCTGAGCGTGCTGAAAAACAAACGGCAAATGGTGGCCTCAGGTGCTCCTAGCAGCATAAGTCCCCCCTTGGTAACAACTCAGATGTACGTGGGGATCTCCCACCCCATCGTAAATTTGGCCGGCCGGGGGCTTGGCACCCCCTTGGATATCCGCGTACATGAGCTCCCTAGTAAACGGGGAAGTAATTCCCAGCTGAACTGGTGCGGGTTGTACAGGTACCCTGTTCATCTGGTCCCACATTTCATTCATTTGCCTCCTCATCTCGGCCATCTCTTCCTCCTGGGCCGTCGAAGGGGGCGGTGGTGGAACCCTCATATCCGTACAGTCCCGGTCCCAATGCCGCTGAGGGGCCCTAGTATTTTCCCGTTCGGCATACTGGAAATGATGACCGACGGGAGTTGGTCCTCTAGCTTGCGACCTGACCGGGGTTCGGTCACTGGGACTGGGATGCGCTGCTGGTGGGGCGCTACGTCGATTATCCCGATGGGTATGTGAGCGGGATGACGCTGTGGTCGTTTCCGCGCGTGGAGTTTCTCCTGTAAAGCTGGAACCTCCTTCCTCTTCGTTCGCCATGTGCTGCATGAATTGGGCCATGTCACGCATGGCCTGGGGATTTCTTCTCAGAGATTCGGGAATCACAAAATCCCCATTAAAACGAGGATACGATCCTCGACTGGATTGTCCCTGGGGGTTTTGACTCCCCGGGGTGTGACTCCTCCCGTGACGGTGTGAACTGTCGTTTGTATGATAGGAATTGATTCTGACCATTTTTTTTAAAAATAGAGGTTTTTTGGATGTTTAGAAAGTGAAACTTTTTGCAAGTTTCCCACAGACGGCGCCAATGTTGAGGGTAAGTCCCGTAGATCCGAAAGCCCAACACGAACTTTGGATATATCAGGAATGACCCAGAATCAAAGCGTATAAGAAAATATAAGATCTGAACTAACTAAAACTCGAAAGCTCACTTGTATTAATTAATCAATCTGATTACAAGGAATTTCCCGATCGGTAAGTCGAAAACTATGCTTTAATACAAGAAATAAGAGCAAATGATGCTATTCTAGAGCTTGAGTATTGAAATGCTAACCCTTACATTGACTTGAAACCTTCTATTTATACTAATGAAGAGCATGGGCTGCCTCTTGCTGATTGGCCGTTGTTCCACCGACTTGGTCATCCATGCTTCCACTTGCTGATGTCATAGTCTGGCATTAATTGCACCTGGCCACTTGCTGGTTGGCCGTTGCTCGAACGGGATGTTGGGCTGCACTGAAGATGCTGTCAAATTGGCCCAAGTATGACATATAGCCCGAACCTCGTTCGGTATGTCTTCTTACTGGGCCAATCTTTATTTGGGCCGAACTCCGTTCGGTATGTCTCCTTACTGGATCTTTTCATCATAGAGTGATGGGCCTGTTACTTGGGCCGGATGTCTTGGGCCTTCCCGATCTGGGTATTGGGCCTCTAGGTCAATATCCCAACAATATTTATGTGAACTTTATTTATACAATATTAATGACATACTACGTAAGAAAGAAAATAAAAAATCATGATTTTTGATATATTATTTAGAAGAACTGGAATATAAATCAAAAAGTTATAATAGTTTAAAGAAAATTGGGAATTTAATTTCAAGTGGGCCATATAGCTACTCAATATAAACACATAGTACTCTTTGCTGCCGTTTTGCGCAAGAGTGGTGTCAAGTAATCCTATCGGCCGTCTCCCATCTTTGAAGGGATTGAGATTTTTCGCCCCCTATCAATATGGGACTCAAACTGCATTTTGTATTGAATTTAAGTGTTCTAATGTTTGGGATTACAGTTACGTTGAAGGAGATAACGTTAGCGGATGAATGAGTCGTTGTGGGTCGAAGTTTGTATCGGTGCTGGATCGTGCAGTCTTGGTCGGCCGCTCTGATGGTGATGGAGTTAGTATTTATCCATGTTGCAAGAGCTCGTCATCCTCCGGAATCACCTCCGTATCAGAAAGGGTTTTGTAGAAAGTCTTTATCTCAATATTATTCTCTTTAATAACATTTGTTTTTATTTTAGTCCGAGTGTGTTTGATTTGGATGTTTGAATTTTTAGAGTTCTTTTGATAGGTAACATTGAAGTTCCTATCATTTTAGCCTTAAATTTGTATGCTTCAGGTTTGGCGAGTCAAGTGGACCCCAAAATCTATGCCTATTGTGCCTACCAACGTGCTAGTAAATTCTCGTCTCTATTGGCTGAATGAGGGCACCGGCTTTCCACCCATTGGGTTCCCCCCACCCACTATACTACCTCTCTGAACAAAAAAATGTTTAGGCTGCAGCATACTTGGAGCGAAAACCTCAAGGCGCGACCTAGGCATTTGAAAAAATATACGGAGTAAATCTTTTTGATAAATTGCTTTTGCAAAGAAAAAGTTACATAAATTTTAAAAAACTCAACTTTGTTAAATACTTCCTCCGTTCTTAAATAAATGCAACGGTCAACATTTAACACTTGCCGAGACACAACTTTGACCATTAATATAAATGATTTTGTATTAGTAAAAAAAATTAAAAAATTAGATTATGAAAATTTACAATGAGACAAGTTTAACAATATTTTTTTCATAAAATAATATTATTACATTAATAAATAAAACGTAGTCAAAGTAGAACATGTGAATAGTGTAAAAGTCAAAATGTTGCATTTATTTAAGAACGGAGGTAGTATGTATTCATTTAATATATACTCCCTCCGTCCCGGTGATTTCTTCCAACTTTCCTTTTTGGGTCGTCCCAATTAATTCTTCCAATTTTCACTTTTGGGAAAAATGTGTGGTTCACATTCATTCACATTTTTACACAACTACAACCATACATTTCCACTTTATTCCCACTTTCTAAATTTGCGAGCCAAGTTTGATTCGGAAGAACTTTTTGGGACGGAGGTAGTATTTTTTATTTGCACTTTTTTATCTCTTTTGGTCATTAACATTTTTTCCTGTATACTCTGTATAACAGTATAACATATTACCTCTACTTCAAATTGATTTGTAAAATTGACCTTTTAATCTAACAATTTTATTTTATTAACTTAATTAAGACGTCAATTTTTAGTTATATTATAATTTTTAGTTTGCTACTTTGAAGAGATTTTAATATAGTTTTTTAATATGTAAATTTTAAATACTAAAAATTGAATTCATTATCAATATGCAGGATTTAACTTTAATATTAATTGACCAAAAAAATTTAACTTTACAAACCAATTTTAAACGAAGGGGGTAGTGATGATCAATAAAATCTCGAATGTCTTTCCACGCCTAGACTTCACTTAATTATAATGGTTAAAGGGTCAAATAGGCTCATGTACCGGTCGTGTAAACTCAGTTCAGTTATTGAACTACAAAATGTTCAATTCGCATCCTAGACCGACAAAAAATGGTATAAATTTCATTTTTTACGGGTAAACAACCGGTCATTTTTTTAATTTTTTTATTGTTTTATGTTTTTTAATTTGACACTTTTTAATAGTTTAAGGGTGCATATTGGACCTTTTTTACCGGTTCAGGGTGCGAATTGGACCTTTTTTAGTTCAGGTACTGAATTAAGCTTACAACACTGGTACAACTGTACAAGAGCCTATTTGACCCTTTAGCCATTTCTAATTAACCCGTACGAGCTTAAGGCTTGACCTTGATGTCTCAACATGCTTCATGCCTTTAAGGACGCTCCACTGAATTTCAAAAAGTAATACTTTCTCAATTTATTTTTAGTTGCAACAATCAACATTTCACATTTTGCCAACACGCATCTTTGATCATAAATATATCTTATTTTCTATTGGTAAAAAAATAATCAGATTTTGAAAATTTGTAATGAGATGAATTGAACAATATTTTTAAAAAAAATAATTTTCATAAAATGATAGTGTAAAATGTAGTTAAAGTAGATCATGTGAATAGTGTAAAATTGAACATGTTTCAATTAAGAAACGGAGGATAGTACAATTAAAACATCAAGCTCCTTCACTGATAATACAACAATTTTTTTTCAGATAACGAATGTTTTTACTTAGACTAAAATTTGTTGGTCTGATTTGTTTAAGTCTGGTCTGATATGAACTGGTCCAGTAAATATATGGTCTTTGTGTATTTTATAACTATGAAATTCTTACCTGATTTCATCTGATCTATTTAGATCTAATTTGGTTTGATCTATTCTGTTTAACTCTAGTTTTGCCTGGTATGGAATGAAAACAACTTAATTAAAAACATCCTACCTGACTTCAAGTGTTCAAACAATCTCTACAATTATATAAGCATGAATAATGTTAGGGGTATAACGGTCTTAGATAACAATCTCTACAATTATATAAGCATGACTAATTCTACACGTAGAGGTAGGTTTGGCAGCATTCTACCTTCCTCTTCTGTTTCTTTGCCTTATCTCATACTTCTTCGAATCATGAAGTCTCTCAAAAAGATGATAACTTATCCACGGAAATCTACCTGGAGTTATCTGACTAGGTATACTCCAAATAGTCTCAATCCAATTTTGAGGTAAATTATTCTTCTAAGTCACACTACATATAATATTTTGAGCTGAGTTCCAATCTTATAGGATTATATCACTTAGAAAGCTGTTACAATTCTTGTAAGGAAGGTGTTTGTTGAAATTCCTCAATCAATTATATCTTAGCTACAATTATTTTTGAGCAATCCTTAATATTGGATACTGACATTAGGTAAAAATTGTTCTCATCATCACCTTCTCTTGGTGAATTGTTATTAGGTAAAATAATCATGGATGAAGTTAACAAGCAAAACCAAATGGAGCAATCCTTGATATGTTGTTTTCATTGAAAAAGTTTTAATGTGTAGATCACTACAACTTTGTGTCCAAGTTCATTTCCAAATTCTTATAGATGGTTTTGATTTACATTTCCTATATGCCATATCTTAATAAATAACAATCCTTACAGCGGCAGATATTGCCTTTTAATATCTGATTTTTATGCCATTGTGATTTTGAATCAGATTTAGTGTTTGCTATATACTTAAACTGTTAAACATAGCATGATTGGAAGAATGTGTATATTAAGGTGAGTTCCTGGTAGATTAGCATTTTGGCATTCTAATTTTTCCATATAATACCAGAGTGTGCATATCCACACTTTAAGGCCTCTTCAGTTAATACAGAGCAAAGAGGTATAGGAGAGAGGAAGGCATTTATATATGAAGGCATTTCTTTGGAGGGATGCTCTTTTCGGGTGCATCATGCCATGCGAGTAAGATATTGTGAGTTTTCAAAGTTACTTTTCACAAAATATTGCTATTAGTTTATCACTTAATTTCTCACTTCATATATGGGTTTTGTATTCTATTTGACAGGTAATCTTCTACATAGCTAGGTAAGCTATGAAGGAATTTCTTTTCTTCTGGATCTAATACCCTTCTTTTCAGATTATTTACTATAACTATTTGGCCTTTCAATACTTTAAAATCTAACTTTAAAAAGTAATTAATGAATCAAAATTACTACATGTATATATAAGACTATAGGAGTACTAATGTTTATACTCCTAACGAGTGTAGGTCCTAGCAGATTGGAGTTGTATAAATACAACTCTGTTTGTTTCGTTATTGCTTTTTATGTAATTTTCTAAGAACTACTTTTCTGTGTTAACTGGACAATTTCTGTTTTTCCTTCCCGTGTTGGAGAAAATTAGTGTATACGAGACAATAGAGAATGCACTTGGCATCACACAATATTGATCACATTTCCAGATGTTTTAAATTGTAAACTAAGTTCATATGGAATACATATATTGATCTCCTTTTTCAGGATGATGGGCTCCAATCTCTTAGACAAAATATATCACCTTACTTAGTGTCCTTGTTATATGCACTCTCTGATAATCTGTTCATGGGATTTACATTCTCCGGACAATTTTATCTGTTCATTAGCAATGGTTATTGCAGATGCTTCTTACATGCTTGTGTATTCTGGTTGTTGACTTCGAAGTATTTTCTACAAGATTTGCAAAAACAGAAACTCCGGACAATTTTATCTGTTTATTAAAATTATGCTTTTTCCATCATCCAGTTCATTATCTAGTTCTCATTTTTGCAACAAGCATGGTAAGAACTACTATTTGTGATTTTTAGAACTGTAGAAGTATACTTTTGTTATAAAGTGACTAACAAGCACAAAGCAGAAGCGGGAAAGACTCAACTCAGTAAAGCGACGAAGCCACGATGTCACAAACACAGGCACCCAGCTGCGCCGCCACGTGCTTTCCTGTCCCCTATGTCTGCGGTCGATCGTCGGTGTCCCTCTGGAGTCCGACACTCCAGCTTGTAGCTCGTTGTGGCTCTGCCCCTCTAGTCTATTCGAATCCGACTAGCTGCCTCTAGCCGAGTCTAGTTGTCCAGCCATCCACACATACTCTTATACTCTTTTAATATATTATTTTGTGCATTAGTTTTATTTAATAGTTATGTAATTCTATTTGATTGTTAATTTAATTTATGCTCAAACTCGGCTTGAATAAAATAGATACATGAACTCTATTTTTTTAGTGTTCAAATATATTTAAAAAATTGCAATGAAAATGTTTAAATTTTAAGATAAATAAAATTTATTCCTATAATTTACGAGTTATTGATAGACTCGAGTCTGGATCAAACCGAATACCACTATGCTCGAACTCAGCTTGAACAACTATTCGAACTCAAAATCTAGCTCGTGTTCGAGTTAAAAATTTTTTCTTAAGCTCAGATCGCTAAATTAATTTCGAAATCACGCTCGAATTCGCGTAGTTCGAAAAAAACTCAATTCGATTACGGCCCTAAGTAGCCTAAGCTAAACTTTTTGTTTGCAATAACAATTTTTTTCCTGCTAAGCCCACCCCACTCTTCATTCCTGGATCCGCCCCTTCTTTTGTCCATTCTGGTTCCGGAAGGATATACTCTTTCCTGTATAACTGATAAGTTGCTTTACACTTTTATAGTTTACTATTGTTGCTGAATGTAAGGTTGGTATCGTTTTTTAGCTTCTCCTTTAGAGTAGTATTCAAGGATGCGAGGTTTGGTAAGGTTGAATTGCTTCAAGAATCTTTCTTTATTCCGTTTCTTCCTCACATATTTTTAAGGTTCCATTTATTTAGAAGAAGAGGTTCTGTGTGGAGATTACTCTCGATATAAAATTATTCATTCCCTATGGATATAAAATTATTCCATGATATTGTGGGTGTGACTATGATATCTTCTTCTGTTGTAATTTGTTCTCAATTTCCATACTTCATTACTAATTTTTTAATAATTTGGTTACCCTAAATGTTAATTATTTGCTTTTGTTCTGAATCAAGTATGTTTTTTTTGTTTGAAACGAGGTTTAGTCCAACAAAAGCTAGCCAAATATAAATGCGGCCAATTTTGTTTTCTTGTTAGATCTTGAAGTTTCAATTTAGGTTTTGCTTTACATATAATATGACTTTATTTTGTATGGATGGTTGTACTTTGGGAAATGTTTGTATTGTTCCTTCTTACTTGAAAATTTAATTCACTTTTGTTCTTTTTGGTTGTATTCAACTGTTGTTTTCATATTACTCATATTAAACCTTAACTAAGATATTGTTTTCCCTACATTGGCCTTGGGCATTACCTCGAACGCGCAACACGCGTTATTAAACTAGTGTCAAAATAAATACTAATTCCTTTCTGGGCGGTCGCAACGAGTCTTAGCCCCAAGGTCGCAGACTACGCCTAGAGCTAGAGAGTAGGGACGCTCAGACCGTCACACACATCCGCTACAGAGAGTGTAATTTTGTTCACTACATCTACCTTTTAGCTCATTTGTTGCTATTTGTCATTCCATTTTCTTTTTTGTTTAAATACCAGTAACTTTTTTATTTGTTGCCCAAAGTTTATAAAAAGTATATCAAATTTATTGTTTTTTTAAAATCTTTCCAGTGGTATCAATATTGTATATAAAAAAATTAAAAAAAGATTTTTTTTCTAAATATTCATGGATTCCTTTTAATTTTTTTTATATTCATACCGTCTCTATCTTCATCGCAGACTATTCAATCAGGCAATGCTGATAGTCGAAAGATTGCGGCTCCCAAGGATGTACTGCCATCACCTATAGAGCATTTCATTCCAACTTCTGAGGCGCCAAATATCCCTGATGTTGGTGATATCTTTCAACCGCCTGCAGCTCAAGATGCATTCACTTCTTGTGGAGAACCTGCTGTTCCAACTTGTGAGGGAGTTTCTCAGATTGATAATATAGATCTTGGAACACAGGAGATTGAGGCATATCCTTGCTTGGATTCTCGAGCAATCTACTGTATCCGGTCGGCACATAGGAAAATTCCAACCAAATCCCAAGGTACAAGTGTTCACGGAGAACGTTGAGACTGCCATTCCTCATTCCAATGCAAAAGATTCTCAGTATATTGACTTGTTGGATAAAGCTAGAACTCCTACATTTGATACAGATGATGTTAACAATGTCCCGTCTTCAGTATTTGATCACACTATTCCCACAGAACCTACAGCTGAAGTTTCAGAGAGTGAAGAAATGCCAAATGCTGATGAGGACTTTTTAGTAGCCCCATACTAAATGAGAATGAACACATTGATGAGGAGTTCCAGGCAGAAAATGAATACTGAAAGAAAAGAGCACGGAAAACGTCAATGAAACAGACTGATGATGGTGAAGAAAATCATGGTAAAAAAGCCAACGACAAAACTGGAAAGGCCACTAAAGAAAAGGCCAAGAAGTTTTCTCACTCAACTCGTCAGCAATTGGAAACTCCAGAGGAGGATATTAATTTCCAAAGAGTGCCGCCTATCAAGGATCTAATATTTCTTGCAGAGCACAAGGAGAGTGGCGAAAAATGCAGCGGCAACATCATCCCAGAGCCCTCAAGTGCTGGTAATACTGCTTTTGAAATGAACGATGAAGAGGAGGCATTTACGTTTCATGGAGATAATGATGCAGAAGCTTTTGGGGAACAAGAAAGGGCTGCGGCGGCGGATAGTACCCTCTACTATAATTATCATACATACATGGAAAAAGCAACCAGAGCCCGATGGTCTAAAGCGGACACGGAACTGTTCTATGAGGCCATAAGGCAGTTTGGTTCTGATTTCTCAATGATACAACAACTCTTTCCTGGGTAGACATGCACCCAAGTAAGGCTGAAGTATAAGAAAGAAGAGCATCGGTATCCATCAAGAGTTCTCGATGCTCTAACTACTCGTGCCAATGATCATTCCCGCTTTGAGCAAGTAATTGAGCGCTTGAAAGAAATTGCAGCTGAGGGAAACCAAATTGATGATGACTTAGATGCAGCTGTTGATTTGACTGATGAAGAGGAGGGGCAGAAAGAAGAAATGGAGGTGGTTAACATTATAGTGGAAAATGAAGTCCAAGATACAGATCAAGATGTTGTTACTCAAGTTCAAACTGATGTGGCTGAAGAGGTGCAGGAAGAAGAAGTAGAAGAAGACATATGGAGCCAGTATAGGAGTGAGGATTGATCCACATATACATACCATTAACCCAAGGCTAAAGCTTGAGTGGTGTTTTAAGTGCCGCAGAGATTTCAAACCGAAGAGTTCAATTTTTGGTAGTTCATATGAACTAGTGGCTGCCGTTTTTTTGTTTGCATTTTTCTGTGTCAAAAGTTGCAATGGGTATTTTGTGCTTACTATTGATATACCTAAATTGCTCTTTAGCTCTGGCGCCAACTTACAATACTATGATGTTCAAATTCCATTACATCAGTGTTTATTCAATCATGATTCAAATGTTAAAAAAATACTAATTCCTTTCTTAAAAAAATATTTTATTGTTTACGTTAGATAATTATCTAGTTCAATCGATTCTAAGGCCCTCAGGAATGGGGTGTATGTGATTTGTTCTTCTAGGAGATGATCCACTAACATAAATCCCTAAGGTAATCGCAGTTTGATAATAAACCTCACAAAAACACCAACATGAGCAAACAAAAGAAATTGTTTATTTCATTCAAAGCACAAACAAAAGAAGCAACGAAGTGATTATCTAACAAGGCTTCGTGCTCCCATTAGGCACACCAAAGAACAAAATCAAACAAGCTAGCATACTTAGTCTTCCATTTCATCATCCTCATCGATTTCTTCAATCTTCATCTTTTTTACAGTGTGAGCAGCTTCACTCATACTGTTGTTGTTAGGGACTTGGATCAATATCTCACTTTTCTGCCCAGTTGTAGCATTCACTACACCTCCGTTCTTCTCCACCCGGTAACTCAGGGCTTTCCCTACCGCATCAATGAACACAGTTGAATTCTCATCAATCTCCTCCCTCACCAGCATCTTGGACAATTCAGTCACTACCTTCTTCTCCAACCACCTCCTTATTGGTCTTGCTCCATACACCGGGTCATAGCTTTCTGCCAACACAACATCCAGAGCAGCCTCACTGACCCCCAACGCGATACCCCTCTCAGCCAGGCGCACCGCTACATCTTTCAGCTGAAGCCGGCACACTTTCCTCAGCTGCTCATGGGACAAAGGATCAAACACCACAATCTCATCCAGCCGATTCAGCAGCTCTGGCTTGAAGTGTTTCCTCACAGCCTGCATCACCAATTCACGGGCACTGTCCATCCCACACTTCCCCAGGAGACCACTCAGGAGATACTCTGCTCCGATGTTTGAGGTCATGATGATGACGGTGTTGGTGAAATCAACTGTACGGCCTTGTCCATCTGTTAGTCTTCCATCATTAAGAACTTGGAGCAGAGTATTGAAGACACTTGTATGGGCCTTTTCTACCTCGTCAAATAGAATCACACTGTAAGGTCGCCTCCTCACTGCTTCGGTTAGCTGCCCACCTTCTTCATGCCCAACATAGCCTGGTGGAGCTCCAATGAGTCTGGCCACTGAGTGTTGTTCCATGTACTCAGACATGTCAATCCTAACCATCAATTTGTCATCATCAAACAGTTGCTCTGCTAGAGCTTTGGCAAGCTCAGTCTTGCCAACACCGGTTGGACCCAAGAAGAGGAAAGAACCAGTGGGCTGTTGTGGACGACCCAGTCCGGCTCGGGACCGCAGTACTGCCTCTGCAACTGCACATACAGCTATATCCTGTCCGACCACTCTCTGGTGCAACCTGTCAGCAAGCCCAATCAGCCTCTCTTTCTGGTCTTGGCCCAACCTTGTGACAGGTATCCCTGTCCACCTGCTCACAACCTCTGCAATCTGCTCTGGTCCAACAGTCTCGGTCAGCATTGCACCCTCCTCCTCTCCTGTACCGCTACTGCTCTCAAGCCTGGAAATTGCGGCTTCCACCTCCTCAATCGCGCCATATCTCAAATCTGCTGCCCTGGCAAGATCATATCTCCTCTCAGCTTCTTGTAAAGCATACATAAGTTCATCTCGCTTCTGTTTCAGCCTCCTGAGCTCATCAATTCTCTCCTTCTCCTTGTTGTATTTCATCAACAAAGGCTGAAGCCTGTCCCTCAAGTCATCAAGCTCCTTCCTCACATCCGTTAGCCGAGCTTTACTTGCTTTATCTTTCTCCTTTTCGAGGGCGTGAAGCTCCACTTCCAGCTGAATCCTCTTCCTCTCGAGATTGTCTATTTCCTCAGGTTGGCTGTCAAGCTGAACCCTCACATTAGCACAAGCCTCGTCAACCAAGTCAATTGCTTTATCTGGCAAATGACGCCCTGTGATGTACCTAGCAGAGAGCTGGGCCGCAATGACAAGTGCCCTGTCTTGGATTTTGACACCATGATGTCCCTCATACTTCTCCTTCAACCCTCTCAGGATGCTGATCGTGTCTGGAACACTAGGCTCAGCAACATAAACCTGCTGGAAACGCCTCTCAAATGCAGCATCCTTTTCCACATACTTCCTGTACTCCTCAAGAGTTGTTGCACCAATGCACCTTAGTTGGCCCCTAGCGAGCATCGGCTTAAAGAGGTTGGCAGCATCCATAGATCCCTCCGTCCTACCGGCGCCCAACACCAGATGAATCTCATCAATGAAGAGAATGACTTTCCCTTCGGCTTCTTCTACTTCCTTCAACACAGCTTTCAACCTTTCCTCAAATTCTCCTCTGTACTTTGCTCCTGCAACCAGTGCTCCCATGTCTAGAGCAATAAGCCTCACATCAGCAAGATTGCTTGGAACGTCACCTCTAACAATTCTTTGTGCCAATCCCTCAACAACGGCTGTTTTTCCAACACCAGGCTCTCCAATGAGGACCGGGTTGTTCTTTGTCCTCCTTGAAAGGATCCTAACAACTCTTCGGATTTCTTCATCTCTGCCAATGACGGGGTCGAGTTTTCCAGCCTGCTCCACCAGATCACGACCGTACGTTTTGAGCGCCTGGAAAGTGGTGTCTCCCGAGGCACTTTCCACCTTCTTGCCTTCCTTACCCCTAAGCTTCTCAACCTCTGATTTCACCCTGGAAGAGCTGATCCCAGCTTCCTTCAAAAGGTCTCCGATCTGGGAATCCTCCAACAGTCCCAAAATTAACTGATCAACCGCCAAATGCGAGTCTTGGCGTGACTTTTGAAGTGCCTGAGCTCTCCGAATCACCTTAATCAGCGAAGTGCCTGCCGGGATTTCATCTGGAGGTGGGGTCTGCGTGGGCAGTTTCTTCATTGCCTGATTGAAGACCCTCTCAACGGAATTGGCAGTCTCTTGGCTGCCACTAGCATTTACAATGGCTTGTCTGAAAATACCATCGCGGTGAGACAGCATGGCCACTGCAATATGCAGAGGCGTAAATTGTGCGTGCCCTGCATTCATGGCCAGCGCATGTGCCTCTGCTATGGCCTCATTGCTCTTGTTGGTAAACTTATCAGGGTTCATTCTCACAACTCTTCCTCAATTAAAAACACAAAAACCTGCTTCAAATTGAATGAAACGGAATTTATCGCCAAGTCCAAGAGATTGAATACCAAAAAAATAAACAGAAAAATGATCATAAGAATGGACAATGCCATAATTGACAATAAAACATTCCTATTTCCCATATACAAATCTAGTATACTTTGAAACAGAACCTTCAGGAACTGCACTATTTTGCAGAATTCCAGGGGTGATGACTGATGTACTTTACTATTTTGCAGAATTGCAGGGGTGACGTACCTTTGAGATGAATAGAGACGTCTTCCACGGAATTCGCTTGCTCCGAGAGAATTGTCGAAAAACTCAGCGTTGGTGCTGATCTTGTTTAATGAATTTGCAGATAAATTTCGAAAATCTTGTATATCCAGAGATGGAGAGGGTGAGGCATAGAGAGGTGTTTTTAATGAGCAAGATGAGAAGTCCGGAGCTGTGGAGCGACAACTAGAAACTACTAGAAATTTCTTCCACCAGGATGTTCCGCAGGCGCATGGCCCTCTTTTAAATTCAACACACAGAATAGTTTTTTCCTTAATAACCGTTTTTTTTTCCTTTTTTAGTTTTTATTATTAATATATCCTCCTTCCGTCTCATAAAATAATTTAATAAAGTGAGAATAAAGTGGAAATATATAGTTGTGATTGAGTAAGAAAAAGATAAATCGATGTGAGTCACAGAAAATTTTCCAAAAAGAGAAATGAGAACTATTTTTTGGGAGTTGGGACGACCCAAAAAGAAAACTGAGAACTATTTTGCGGGACGAAGGGAGTATATACTTTCTCCATCCCCCTATAATTGTCTCACTTTTTCATTTCTGATGTCCTTCTATTATTGTCTCATATCATATTTAGTAACATTTGTGTGGTTCTAATTGACTCTTACTTTATTCTCACTTTATAAACTCATTATCAACCACATAATTTTACTTTTCTAAAAAACTATTTCACTCTCTCTCGTCCTTATATTAGGGGAACGGAGGTAGTAATATATATATGTGTGTGTGTGTGTGTGTGTCTTGTTTTCTGTGAGTCGATTTGAGTTTCGAGGGTGCTTAGTAACTTTTGTTTGAATTAGTAATTTTAAGCTTTTAAAAAAAAGGTTAAAGTGTAAAATATATCTCCTCTATACACTTCTTGATTGCTCAAATTGTCTCTTGAACTAAAAAAAGAGTTCCAATTGACACCATTGACTCGTCTAAAAGATTAAAAACACACTTTTTGCAGGTTAGAATTCGATCACCGCCACGTCACACCATTAGGGTGCCAATTGTGCATGTGACGTGACAATTTAAGGGATCAATCCTGAATCCGACTGAATCGTTCAATTGACCCCTCAACCCTTAAAAACGTCAAAATACGAAAAATAGAAATATAATAAAAAATACAAGTCAAAAATATAACATATAAATATGAAATGTTTATACCTTTTCGGTAAATGCAAAATAAAGAAATAAAATATAAACTAAACAAAATTAATTCTTGAACTTTATTTCCAAATCATATTTTTTGTAGAAAATGTAATAGTTATGTATACATACAACACACACATGTGCGCGCGCTTGCGTCCACACACATATGATTCTCATTGATTTTTAACTCATTTTTAGTTCATTAATTCTCTGCAATTGTTTCTTCTTCTCACTAAAGATTTCTGTGGACTTTTCTGTGGACTTTGCGGATTTGGCTAATTATTTACTCGAGATTACAAACCGATCAACGAATCCTAGACTAATACCGGGCGGGTCGGGAGGTGGGTATTGGGATGGTCTCAATATGCAAGATTTGAACATTAAATGTTGATTTTCTTATCATTTTTACGATAAATAAAGTTGAACAAGGAAATTCTACATTAATACTGATACACAGGATAAACGTAAAAAATGATATTTCATATGCCGCCTTACCGAAAAAATGTAGGGGTGAAATAGGTTCAATTCTTGAAAGAAAATTAGGAACCATTTGAAGAATCGTTATTCCCATATCGATTCGATTCTAGAAGTTTTTAGAAGAACCGATATAAGAATTGATAGTATTACATCGGTGCAATTCTTGTACGTTGTCAGTTAACCATTAAAAAATTATTTACGATAGGACTAAAACATAATATTTTTCTCAAAGTATGAGCATATGTATGATTTTTCTTAAATAAGACTAAATATTACATTTCTGCCCCTAATTTAATTAATCAATACTTTGTATAATTAATTGCCCCTAGTTCCGATCTTTTGCACAATCAAAGTCATTTTATTGGTGGCGGATCAGCCGGTTGACGACGGCGGCGAATTCCGATGACGGAGGTGGATAGGCAGATCGTTATCGACGATCTAGGTGAAATTCCGACGACCTAGTAGTGGCGGTCCGGATTTAAAAGTCTGTGCACTTTTTGAAAGTCTATAAACTTATCCATGAATTCATAAGTTAATAGATTTCATTCATAAAAAGTGTATGGATTTAAAAGTCCATTGACCTTTTTTAAAGTCTATGGATTAAAAAAGTCCACCACAATCCATATACAATACACCCCCCTTAATGAAGAAGATGCTCAAAAAAATTCATCAAAAAATTCCACCGGTAACCGTCCCCAAATGGCGACGGCCGAACAAAGCCTTCTATAAAAGGGTGGATTTACATTTTTTCGGTCAATTGGAAGACTTATTTGCCCCTTTTCCCTTATTTCGTACGTGTCATAGGGTTTTTTTCTCAACCAATAAAGTAATCCCAAAAAGCATTTTTAATAGAATTTGAAAAAAGCCTCAATAGTCTTTTAATTAGTCTTATCATTCTAAATTGAAAAATGCGTTGTGTACATAAAATGTGTACACCTTTGTGTACAATCGTCTGTTCCAAGCAGACAAGTTATCTGTCCACAGACAACTCTACAACTTTGTAAAGTTGTCCGTGGACAGAAAACATGTCTGCTGGAGTGGTGAGTATAGATAAGTGTACATAATAAAAGGTTTGGTGAAGTGCTGGGTATAGATAAGTGAACATACAACATGTCTGGTGGAGTGTACACATGTCTGGTGGGTATAGATAAGTGTACACATTTATGTACACTTCTAAATTAAACAAAAGGATTCCCGTGCCAAACAAAACCTCTCACACGCATTAGTCAATCGACCAAGTCGCAAGAGTTAATTATCAAAATAAGACTAAAAGTCATTCACTTTTCACAAATAGGACCAAAAAATAAACTATGTTTGCATAGGACTAATCATGTGTACCTTGGATAATTATACCCTTATAGCTATTAAAATGTTTTAATTCCTAATAAAATAATAAAAAATAATAAAAATTCGTAAAAAATACTAAAAAATTAAGAAAAACATTTCGATATTAAAAATTTAATTAATTTTTTTTTCAAAAAATTAAAAAAATTAAAAAAAATAAAAAAAAAAAAACTCAAAAAAAAAAAATCGCCGGCGCCTCTGCCGCCTCAGCACCACCATCTCTAGTCATCAGGGGGGAAAATGCCAAGTTCATTACGAATGACATATTTATGGCAGAAAAAAATGAAAATGTTGGCATTCGAAAAGAGAAACATGCCACTTTTTTGGCATTTTCAGAAAAAATGGCATTTTTCTGGGAAAATGAAATTTTTTTCATCGGGCGGAGGTGGTGGTGCTGGGAGGTAGTACAGGCGGTGAGAAAGGCATCCATATTTTTTAAAAAATTTTTTTACGGAGTTTTACTATTTTTTGTTATTTTTTTAAAAATAAAATTATTTAAAAAAAAAGTTTTTGAATTTTTTATTTTATAAAAATTTTATAAATTTTTTAATTATATTTCTACGAATTTTTGAATTTTTTTCGAATTTATTATGAATTAAACATTTAATTATGACTTTTGACTATTTTTAATTCATATTTAATGGAAGGGTAAGAATGGAATGCAAAAATAGGTATGTTTCCAATAGGACTCATATGATCCTATTTTGGAATAAAAACATAGCAAGTCCTATTTTAAGTTTTTGACATAGTTTTAGTCCTATTTGAACTAATTTCTATAGATAAGTGTACACATTCATGTACACTTCTAAATTAAACAAAAGGATTCCCGTGCCAAACAAAACCTCTCACACGCATTAGTCAATCGACCAAGTCGTCTCTCGTCATCTCTCGAGCCCGCGAGCCACCACCGGCTACCGCGCCCTGAGCGCTCTGCCGTCAGCCGCACCTACACCCGGAAAAAGTTCCGATTTCTTTCTTTGCGACTCATTACTCGGGCTGGTAAACTTAGATTAAAAATTAAATTCCATATTTTGTTGAAAATAGAAAAAACTTCCAGTTTCAATTAGTGAGTTTTTATGATATGTGTTTAAAAAACTCAGATTCAATTACTAATATACCATTTTTTCATTCGATTAGTAAATTGTACTACATCATTCCCAAATTGGATGTCTTTGACACAATTATCAACAGAGTAGTTAGAAAAGTAAAAATTATGATTGGGATTTGAGTAGATTAAAGTGAAATGATATGAAACACATATTTCTTGCAAAAAAAAGAAACACGGCATTCATTTTGGGATAAATCGAAAAAGAAAGTAAGATAATCAAAATGGAATGTAGGGAAAAGATTTCTGAAATTTCAATTAGTGAAATTTAGGAACTTGAAATTTGTTCTACGGGCTAATTACATGAAATTTATTTTCCCGTTTTTGATGCCTCAAAATAATACTCCCTCTGTCCCATGAAATAGTTCTCATTTTCCTTTTTGGTCTGTTCCAAAAAATAGTTCATATTTCCCTTTTCGGAAAGTCTTGTGTGGGCCACCATTCATTTACCCTTTTCTGACTCTAACCACAATCATACATCTCCATTTTATTCCCACTTTCTTAAACTCCGATCCAAGTCAAATTGAGAACTATTTTATGGGACGGAGGGAGTATTCCGTAGCATTTAGCAAATCCAAATGCATCTGCGTAGTTGTTCTACCTTAATCATAATGACTACTGACTAACACGTGCTAGGCATTTTGAAAACAGTGCATATTTAGAAAGTTTGCTATCATACATCAATTTTCATGGTATGTAATTTTCTGTAATTTGATTGCGATTTTTGTTGAATGTTTTTGGGCAAAAATGCGCAGTTATCTTCAAGAATTAATTTGAATAAGTCCTGATTGAATTTTTAGCTGAAATTTGGTATGAGTAAACTAGACTTGGTGAATAAGATGCTCAAAAAATTTCATAAATAAATTCCACCGGGACTGCCCCAAATCGCGACGGCTGGACAGAACCTCCTATAAAAGGACTTAATTGACCTTTTTATGAAAGTTCAAGGACCTATTTGACAGTTTTCTCTTTATAATATGATTGTGATTTGTGTCTATGAAAATTAATCCCATACTTTAGTATTAATCATTTAATCCAATTAGCATTAATATCATTGTCATTTTCCATCATTTGCAATGGAGCCAAAGATTCATTATTTTTTGGCTTGAAACTATGATGGAATAAAGCAAAATGGCTCACTAAACTGTCTGCGTTTCTTTGTTATGGAGAAGCAGTCAGTCCATGCAATTTTGGACGCGATTTTCACTATGGGTCATCCGGAAACAGTCTCTCTGTGCTTTAGTACAGGGGTAAGACTGCGTACATACGACCCCCCCTTACCCCACCGTAGGTGGGAGCCTTTGCGGCACTGGGGTAACTGAAAATGATGAGCATTAATATCATTGTCAATATTAATCTCATTACTTAGACGTATAGTATTAACTATTAAGTCACTAGTATTAATATGATTGTGATATGTCATATGTGAGTAGTAATCTCATTGTTTAGTATTAATACAATTAGTTTTAATTAGTATTAATCCTCTTGTTTTTATTATACTCGTGAGGACCTTTCTGCTATTTTCTAACTTATCATATGATGTGGTGGATTGTTGGATACTTGGATTAAAAAAGTCAATGAAGTTAGGTTTGAAGAGATACTATAAATCTGTTGAAATGGAAGCTAATGAAGATATTTCACTATGAATTGTAATGGCCTCTAGTAGATCTAGCCAAATAAACTTCAAATAGATTATGTAAACCCATAGAGAAAAGGTATTTTCTTGAAAAAGGTATCTTCTTGTCAATTGACAGTGATGTCATTATCATGCGATATCATTCTATAAAACCCGTAAAGAACAATTATAATATGTGACGTGTTTTTCGTATTTGACTTTGATGGATTGTTATTTTATTGTTGTAAAACAGTTGTAATATATATTTTTGTATTTTACTTTTTATGCAATTACTGTTATATTATATGAGTATATATGAAAACTTTGGCCCCACCTGGATTGAAATGCTAGGTCCGCCTCTAATTGCAATAGTCTGTGCTGAAAGTCAACGTAATGGAGGAAGTAGAGGATGAGCATCAGCTGCAGCAGATTTCGTCAAACGGTAAATACGTAGTAGATGTTTTATACTCGATAAGTTTAATGTTAAATTTCGAAGAGATTTTAGATTTTTGCAGTGTTCCATACATGGCATATCAGTAGTTGAAGCTCAATAATTCAAACTCAGAATTCTGCAGTCATGTAATTAATAAGAGAGACTGTTACTGTGCTATGATTTGTTTTTTAATTGTTGAAACCCTAACCCTAGTTGCAATGGGCTTACCCCACTTGATATAAGTAGCCCTAGTTGTAGCTATAAATATATCTATTGTTGTAATGTTTTAATTATCAATAATAAGAATGAGAGTCATATTTCACATTAATGAAATGTAAAAGTTAATGTTCTTGGTCCACAATGTGTCTGATGGATTGTTCTGACCATAAGAGTGGTTAAATGGGAATGAATCCTCGTCTCCTCATGGAGGATCAAGAGAGGCAGTTATCTTAGGAAACAGTGATGCTGCAGGTTGTCAAATTTGTATTTTGCACTAGGACACAACAGTGTGCAATTGCTTACATTGATAGTGAATTAGTGATACATTATGTGCTCCTTTGGTACTTTCTTCACTTTATCAGCCTATCATAAGCCAGGTTTTATAGAGAACACTAACATAATCAACTGTGCCGGCTAAATCTGTGTCTAATGAAAAAGTCAACTGCAGAAGGTATTTTTTGGTTGAGGTTGTTGAAATGAATGAACATGATAAATGTAATCCTACCCTAAATATAGTTTTTCTAAGCAGACATATCTTAAATAATATGTTTGATAATTCAGCATGTTCATCCAATTGAGCCATAGTGGCCACAACTTTAGATGTAAATCCATTTCAGCCAAAGTTACCCTTACTGAATGAGCCGCATCTTAATATTTTGCCTACCCTATCTGGAAACTAAGGCTACAAAAGTTTGTGGACTTGTGGACACCTATTCCACCCTCTGTATTTGTGCTTGTACATTTGCACGTTAATAATTTGTTGTATGAAGTGCATGTAATGGTGGGTGGTTCGGGTTGTTCAATTTGTGAGTGTTTCCACACCATTCAAGGGGCATGAAGGCATCAAGCATGCACCGTTTTGTTTCATATTGTTGAAATAGCAATAGTAACCCCCCCCCCCCCCCCCCCCCCCCCCCCCCCCGTTTTAAAGGTACCTCCTGAAAATATGATATAATATTTTCAAATGGTCAATGCGCTGCAGATGATATTATCACCAAAGGAACTTCAGTTGTTCATAGAGAGCCTCCTCAAGATGATGGGCCTCCAAAAGTTGATTCAGAATTGGAAGTCCTTCATGAGAAAGTAACTAAGCAAATCATCAAGGAAGGCCATGGCCAAAAGCCATCAAAATATGCAACTTGCTTTTGTAAGTTCAAGATGAGGCATTTAGTTGGATATACTGCAGTCAGTAGTGCTATATTTACCTTTGAAACTGAATAAACACTCTATCATTAAAGTCAAGACAGAGTATACTGTAAACTAAGAAAAGTTTTTCACTTTAAATGGCTAGATAGTTTGACCATAATAAATGCTATGCCCAATTTACATGAACAGATTATCTAGACATCCTCAAAACGGTATAGAGAAATTTAAGTCTCCGTTTCTTTATGTTCCCTTCCATGTGGTCAAACATTTGCTGGCACTAGTCAATCACATTCGACTTCAAATTTAAACGGAATTCAATTCAGTAGCCCTCTTTTAATTTTCTCATACTATTTCCAAATTCTTATGTTGGGTTGGATGACAATATGGTTTTGGAGAGAGCAAAGTGGAGGGCGCATATCCGTGTGGAAGATTGATGTCTTTTCTACCTTTCCTCTCCTTTTTCTTGTATTGTTTATCTTCTTTATCTTTTTATATTCTTATGTTACTTTTATCTTCTAGCTTTTTTATGCTCTTTTATTTTTTTCTTTTATCTTTCTTATATTCTTGTGTTATTGTTATCTTATATTTATTTATCTTTATTTTATTCGTTTTATCTTACTTTCATTTTTCCTTTTCTTGTCCGTCATCTCTGTTTGGCATCGATATCATAGATCGATTCATGTTAGCCGACCCCAAATTCTTTTGGGATTAAAGCTTGGATGTTGTTGTTGTTATTGTATTTCCAAATTCAACACAACTTATCTTTGCATAAGATTCTCTTGACCCGTCATTTCAAATGCATCAGTCTCACATTGATTGTATTGATAGTGCATTATAGGGCATGGACAAAAAGCACCCAGCACAAGTTTGAAGATACATGGCATGAACAACAGCCCCTTGAGTTGGTAATAGGAAAAGGTGGTGCTCACTTTACTACTAAAAATCTTTTGAACATAAATTATTTTTCTCGTCTCCGCTTTCAGTGTTACATTATCAACTCTCCTTCAATACACAAGTCTTTATATATTTTACTTGTCACAGCATTGTAAAAGTGAATCTTTTGATGATTTTGTTACTCGTGAATTGTAAATTGAAGAAGACTAGAAGCCCATCAATAGAAGCCCAGATAAAAATTCATATCTAGAAGACTAGAACATGAAGAAAGTAAACATTTTGCAAACTAGGTGCTTACGTTGTAGTCCATGTCCACAATCTTTGTCTCATTTTTTCATCTTTCCAGAAGCACATCAATAAAAAGCCCATATAAAAAAATTCATATCTAGAACATGAAGAAAGTATAAATTTTTTGAAAACTAGGTGCTTACAAATTCTTTTGGGATCCCAAATTCTTTTGGGATTAAGGCTTGGATGTTGTTGTTTATCTCATTCTATTTTTGGTAATATTTGGGTGATTCAAATGTCAACCACATCATTCCACTGTTTTTAATATGCATGCGACATTCTCGGGTATGAAAGATAGTGGGGCTGAGATAGTCATATATTATCAAGTAAGTAACATTAAGGCACTAATGGGGTGTTTGGAATTGATTCTGCTTCTGCTTCTTTTTTAAAAGCAAAAGCAAAATCAGAATCAGTTTTTTAGAAGCTAGTCTCCTCCAGCACCCAGAAGTACTTCTGCAATTCCACCCAAACACTCCAATATTTGTCTCTACTCCCCTTAAGGAGTAGAAGCAATTTTAAGAAGTAGATCCAAACACCCCCTAAATTGACTCAAGAAACCAATGGGTCGTAGAGGTCAAATGCTGTAATCAGATATCATGCATGAGCTATTTAGCCCCTTCCTTTTTTAAAAAGAAATTTCAAACTTTGGCCCTTTGACCTCTTCTGATCCCTGAGAACTTGAAAAGCAAAAGGCCAAAAGAATGTTAGATTTATATTTCTTTAGCCAGCGATTTGTATCCTTGAGAGTGAGATGGAACTAGATCCATTCCTGTGATACACACGCAATTATTCTCCATTTCCAATATAGATCTGTATTTGCACGCCGGAATCCCGAATCACAACACCTCACTGTGCTATGCTGACATCTGTGGGCCACTTTTTACAGACAAGTATCAGATAAATGCTGTTCACAACTTCAGTAGTGATATTTTGACATCAACTCCCTGGGATGAGTACCTTGTGAACGTGTCAAAGGCCGCTCCTTCTCCCAATCATTAGCACCTTGATCCCAATTATGTACCTGGTGTAGAATTTAGTGTTCCCGAGACGTCTTGTGTTGCAAACTTTTAACTTCTGCAATAAGTGATTGTCTCTTAATTTAGGTTTTAGTTATGTTGATAACTTGAATTGTGCTGTAAAATTGAATAGAGAAAAAGGAACTGACTGGGCTGGCTATTGGCATTTCGGGCATGAGATCCGGTGAACGTGCATTGCTAAGTGTTGGATGGGAACTAGCATATGGAAAAGATGGAAGCTTCTCTTTTCCAAATGTTCCACCTGAGGCCAATGTTATGTACGAAGTTGAATTAATTGGTTTTGATGAAACCAAAGAAGTGAGTCAATGCAAAGTTTGATGCATAAACCGTTTTATTCCATACATCAACATTATTGATCAGTTTCTTGAAACTTGTGTAGGGAAAATCACGGGGTGACATGACAGTAGAAGAGCGAATAGGTGCTGCTGATAGGAGAAAGATGGATGGAAATGCTTTATTCAAGGAAGAAAAACTTGAGGAGGCAATGCAACAGTATGAAATGGTGAATGAACTGCAATAATCTTCAGGGATTTTTTTTACTAAACATAATTGATGTTATAATTGTGCAATTACTATCCATTGGTTGAGCTAGGCCATAGCATACATGGGAGATGACTTCATGTTTCAATTGTTTGGTAAATATCGGGACATGGCTTTAGCAGTAAAGAATCCTTGCCACCTTAACATTGCACAGTGCTTCTTAAAGCTCAACCGGTATGAAGAAGCGATAGGGCAATGTAGCATTGTGAGTATACAATTTTGAAGCTATCAAGTACACTGTCTCTTTTAAACCATTTGTCCAGATATATGAATTCTTTCAGTTTACTTCGTGAGTTGGTTTAAATGCTAAAAAGGTGGAAGTTTACTGTAATGTGTTGTTCATCCTCTCGCTTTTCTGGTAAAGCACAAGTGTTGGCCATGCCTTAATACTTCCTCAGTTCACTTTTAGTTGCTCATGTACCGTTATCACGGAATCTAAGAGTAATACTGTTGGGGAAGTGAATGGCCTGAAAAAATGAGAGACAGAAGGTGAGAAAGTAGAAAAGTTGAAAAGAGGAGATGAAACAGTAAAGATATTTATGTGCTAAGAGTGTAAAAGTAGGAAAAGTTGCTAAAAATAGAAATAAAGTGTGATTAAACCCACCCACCCACAAACAAACTTCACTATGGCTTTTATGCTTTCTGTTCAATAACAAAGGAAAACTATGTTGACTTTGGCTGTTAATGGTTAGGTGTTGACTGAAGATGAAAATAACGTAAAAGCATTGTTTAGGAGAGGAAAGGCTAGAGCAGCACTTGGACAGACAGATGCAGCACGAGAAGACTTCCTTAAAGCACGTAAGTTTGCCCCTGAAGACACAGCTGTTGTACGGCAATTGGACCAGCTTGCTAAACATGACAGGGAAGTCTACCAAAAACAGAAGGAACTTTACAAAGGTTTATTTGGAAAACCCCCTCAGCCCAAGCCCGAGAAGAAGATGAAGACTATACTATTTGTGGTCTGGCATTGGCTGCTTTCTCTGTTTTATAGAGTATTCAAGCGCAAAGGTGATAAAACCAACTAAAATTTCAAGATTTCTCACCATGACAATGAAGAACAATATAATTCAGACACCCCCCTCCAGATATTTCCTGTTGAACTTCATACAATTTTCTTTCTTGTAGTAACTTGTCTCATGTGCCTGCATTAACTAAATTTGAGATTTGTAGTTTTTCAGCCTTTGTGCTTGGATGGGTGCTTGTGTTTGCTTCTATTTTTGAGAAGTGATTATTAATACGTAGTATCAGTTTTTTTATTTATGAAAAGTGATCTTGAAAAAGTAAAAGTTGGAGTGATAAAAATACTGTGTAATAGAAAAATGAAAGAAATTTAAAGTACTCCATTTGCTTTTAACTTGGTGTTTCATTTAAGCAGAAACAGTTGTTTGAAAAAACAATATTCAACTTTTAAAAACTCAAAAGCTAAAAGCAATTCTCAGGAGCAAATGGAAAACACTCTCTTAGAGTGGAAGATCATGAAAGGTCGGGTCGAAGAAAGGATCAAACACGTTTGGTTACACGTTTAGCAAGGGAGAAGGATAAAGCCAGTTGCCAATAATTATTAGGAATTTCTTTGATTACAAAGCGGTATGTAATGCTCTATCCATATCAAATTATATAAAACCTTTATTCATATAGTGAGATTTTCAATAAAAAGGAGCATATAGGTAAATAAGCTTCATTAGTCTCGCAAAGTAAGCCCATTATCTTCTTGCCTGTACAAGGATTAGTAAGTGTTGATTAAATTAGATGTATTAATTAATTGTATATTTGTATAATGCATTTCTTTCTTCACCCCTGTAAATCTAGATAACAATTTGAAAATTGAGAATCAAATGCACGTAACACTTTGTGCATGCACATACCCTCAACTCCTCAAGTGGTTGAACGGTCGAGAAATTTTGGATGATGAAATTTTTGTGGTTTAACTCTCAAGAGGATTATATATTCACTAATTGTGGAAAGAGTACCAAATCCCTCGTAATAATGGGACTGAAAACTATATTTATATCAATATCTGATTTACATCATCCATGGATCTTGGCCGGGTTGTGGAGGGTTCATAGGGATCCAAGGTCAGCTTGATAAAATCGCATGTTTAGATTAAAGAAACATTTGGTCACAACCATAAAAATCTGAATATTGATGGGATGACCTAAGTTACATAAAAATAAAGTGGACTGTGTCGCTACACGCTAGGGTTAGTGATATTATTTTTTCTCGCTGAGGTGCTGCTGGCTTTTCTATCGCCCAAGTGCGATTCTTCGCACAGAAATGACTAGGCAATCCGGGTTGGAGAAACAAGGCAGACAATTTGGAGATACAGGGTAATTGGCCAAATCAGTCATCATTTCCCCGGAGTTCTGATATAATCTACTTCGAGACTACCTTAATAGCCTATTCGAGACTTACATACATTGATAGTATCAAATTTAACCAATCCCTATTGAAAACCCACATTTTGAATGTTTTGCATTTTTGGGTGATAAAATCTTTTTTAGATTCTCAATCTTTAACTTTACAAGGCTTCCCTGCCTCAATGCCAAACATTTGTTTGTGGTAAACATTCTATCCTTTTACTCAAATAGATTATTCTAAAGCTGGTTTACAATAAAACTGGGAATATACTCATATCTACTATTATGCTTTTATTATGATTGATATTATTATTATTATGATCTAATAAAAACGCATGCCCTCACAGATCTTCTACAGAAAGAAACATGAAATTAGTAAAAGTTAAAAATTAAAATACCTACCTATTGTAATTTTCAGAAATTCTCTTCCAATAAAGAATTTTTTCTACCACAAACTCATTCTCAAATCTCATTCTGCAGCGACTTCAATTTCAAGTTGATTGGATTTAGATTTGTTTCAAGTTAATTGGATTTGAGATTGTCATTCAGCTTCTTGTAAGGCTTCAAGGAGATAGCACTTTTGGATTGTTGGAATTGGAAAGCTACTATGGGTGCGGATGTGGCCAAGATAAATCTATCATGATGCTAATTGGCAAGTGTGTTCAGACTGCTAACCACATCCTTTTTTTTTAATTTACATTGCAAGATCCCACATTTTATTGTACCCATCGCCACAAAAAATAAGTTAAAATCTGTTGACCACCTGTGGACAGTCCCCCCTTGAAGCTTCTTGGAATTGGTTGGTCTACTTTTAATGGTTGACGAACTCCATCATACTCATTCATCACTATTATTTTTCTTGTTTGCTTCTGGGGTGGAGGTGTTGAACCCTTCATCATCTTTTTGTTGTGATTTATTCTTTTTTCTATGAGAATACTTGGCAAAGGCAGCTGAGAGTGCCGTCTTGATTGTTATGTCAGGCTCCTTGTTTCTGTGCATCTTCGCATCTTCTACTTCTATCTCGTCTTTGTCTCCTTGAGTGACAGAGCTTGGCCCCGTATTTTCATTAGCAGCCACTTCAGGAACTGCATGTTTAGACACTTCACGCTGGAAGGGTTCATGGAAAGTGTCATATAGGCGTCTTACCTGCACGTGATTGAATGCCAGTGAGGTGGTAACATACAAAGTGCACAGTTATTCCAAATTTCCGATGAATACTAAAGCAAGATGAGACCCATCAAGACATAATTCAATGCGCTGTGTCACTAACAAGCTTACGTTTGTAGTTCGTATTTGTGTATTATTGTTGCCAAAACGATCTTAGAGTATTAAAATAAATAAAAGCAATTGCGGAGTCATTTTTATCTCAATAAAAGCAACATAGTGTTGCTTTTGATAGTTGGGATAAGTGCTTTTATCTGTTTCCAAATATCTCCAAACAGGGCCATGGCTTATACGGTCTTAATATATAGTCCTATTTTGTTTTATCTAAATCACCTCCTATCCACTTGAACACATTCAAGGAAAAAAGATACAGAGTAATTGGCCAAACCAGTCATCATTTCCCAGGGAAAAACATAAGTTAAATGACAGAGAAAGAAACCTTGCGCTCTCCTATTCCAGGGCAACGAGCAAGATCTTCCATGGATGCATCCATTATGTGAGAAAGAGACTGCAAATGAAGAAACATGTGGGCATTGCGACAAGTACTATAAGAAACATGTTAGCAAATTGATAAGCATACCCCAAATGTGGAGCCAAGGGTGACAACATCTGTCTTGTTGACATGCCGGATTGATGTGAGAGCATGATTTAGCTGCAATAAATAAGAAACATAAGAACTTGCGTAAGACCGCCCCCCACAGTGAGATAAATTTATTTGTCCTTCTGAAAAAGCACTGACTTTAAACAACAATTACTTTGGTTTCCAAGAGTATTCAATACTACTTGTAATGATAAGGATTAATAAAATTATTAGATTTCATTCAAACGTACTGTTTTTGAACAAAACAATTAAACAAAAAATCCCCTGGCAGAGACCCACCCACTAAGAAAAGGCATTAGTGTTTTCAGATTTGATCTACAAAGCAATGCAAAATTATGGACATTGAAGTTGATAACCATTGTCATTTCTGAAAGAGTGACCCACAGAACAAAAGATCAATGCCACACATACCCGAGATAGAAAGTCTGTATCCATTTGGCCTTGAATTAAATCAGCAGGCTTGTTTTCATAAACTTTGATTGTCTCTAAGTAACGTGCACATTCTTCCGAACTAAAGGAATGAAGTAATTCAACATCCTTAGTATCCAAATATGAAACTTCATTACCACACTACCTCAGATTCAAGAAACTAACATCATCATTAATGATATGCAGGAAAAATTATAAACAAATATAAGAAAGAGGAAACACTTCTTCATGATGACTTTCTGTTTTATGTCTTCAAAAACAAGAATAAACTAATCAAGTATGACAACATGAATTCATGTATTGCTGGAAAAGTAAGGGGATAAGCATGAGATGGAAAAATCATCCAAGAAATTCCATGGATATGTTTATAGCATCGATTGGCTCTAGAGTACCTCCAAGCACATAAAAGGGTGCAATCATGGAGTAGGGCTGTCCTTGTAACTTCATGTAAAGGCTTAACAACATCTTCCTGGCACCACCGAAGGCGGTAATGAGCATGAAGCATTGATAGTCAGCCATATCAACACTAAGAAGATGTGAAAGGTAAAAAACAGAGGCTGAGACTTACAACATCAACATGGCACAAAACAATACGAAGCCTGAAGTTCTTCTGCAACTCCCTTATCCGAAAGAACAGATAGTCTGGATGAAGCAGATGATATCGAAGGCTACATGAAGGAGAACATTGTTCACTAATTATTTGAGCACAAGCTTGAAACATATGAATCGATAAAGATTACAAAAGTTTCATAATACCAGGTTAACAGCTCATTTCACATGCAAATTTTGGAGAACAAATATAATCATATAGCCATATTGAATTTTGAAATGGAAACTTTGATAACTTAAACATCATATTTATTCAACCAAAACACTAACTGGACTGCGCCATGCATGTATGGTAAATGAGAAAGTCCAGGTGTACATTTATACATCCCAACATGGCATGTGTTGATTGAATGGTGAAATGTAAAATATTTTTTACCCTAAAATCAAATTGTGAGATGTATGTATGAAGCTAAGAAATGTAGATAGCAAATGTACATGTATCCATACTCCACATTCATGGTAATTGTGCACAAGTTGATCGGGATAAGTTTTCATCACCCAATAACCATATGCCATGTAGAGGCGTACACAATTAATGTACTAAAAGAATGTATACATAGAATAATTCAAATTGGTAACATGAATTAATAGTTGGCAGCTCCAGCTCCAACCTAAGATATAGGGCACAAGCATTCTGCCCCAGTAGGTAGTCACAAACAACATCTGCAAACGTCCATCTAACATTCCGAATATGTTTCAGCACAGGATTTCCCTTCTGAAGAATTATAAGGAAAATATAAACTATAGATCAACAGATCAAATAATATAAAACCAACACAAATCGTTTTAGTGACTTGCATTTATCTTTAGTTCTTTACAAATCAGAATGGACAATGACATCTATATCAGTTATTACTATTCATCATGCATATATCCAGATCATCTCTACTCTCTGGTACAAAGCAAGCCAGGATTGTGTTTGGGAAAAGAATCTAGTGTACTTTACTATTTTAAATTCAAATATTGTTAGGCAAAAGCAATCATTAATTCCTGATAATATATACAAGTTTGACTACAAAGTTTATACAAATTTGACTATTTAGTTTTCAGCACAGAACCACACCTACACGATCATTTGTTTCTAATACTGTAATGTACTGAAAAATACTTTTCGGAATTTCCCATGCTTGAGGGTGAAAAAAACATTTTCTTGAATAAAAATTGTTTTCCTTGATGCATTGCATTATAGCTTATTGTTAAACGTTACATTACACCTAGAATAACAACATTTTCCACACACACAGAAAATCCGCAACTAATTTTCATTAACCAAACAGAGTGTAGACTGTAGAATTACTATATAGATTATATCTAATCACATAGATGAGTTGTTTAATCAGGGCCACTAGATTAAAATAAAATCAATAGTGTAGATTGAGTGTCATAAGCTTGCTCATGGAGTTCGTCGATTGGTGGACCCCTTGCTGGTATCTTGCCATGCTATGGACAAACCTAGGATAACCAACTTGAGACTTACAATTTTTATGTGAGACTTGATCCTGAGATCTGAAACTCAGTTGTTTTGGTGGTCTAGATGGTCGAAACAATAAGGACTTTGATTTAACCATTGGTATATTGCATATTTACTTCAAAAGTTGAGTTTTACTTATAGTAGTTGGCCAGTTTTGAATGCTACAATGGAACGCAGACAAGTCCAACCTCGTAATATCATCAAATCATCAATTACCTTACACAGTAAAGATTGACTATCTTAGTATGAAAAGCAGAAAACTCCACATTGGTTTTATTTTTGGACTCACTCAACTGATTTTTTCCTAATTCCACAAATGAATTGAATATGGAGTTTCTGGTAGAGGATCTGGACTGCAATATAATTAGTTGCTGCTGAATGCTAATTCAGGTATGATTTTCACGAATTCCTTTTATTAAATACTTACCTGCCTATGGCTAACAAGTATCGCATTTCGAGGGGGTGGAGCTGCAGCAGATGATGATGATTGCCACGTTGCTGGTGAAGATGGAGCTTCTGATTCACTAGTTATCCTAGGAAAACCTGATTTAGTTCCACTTTATTCATAAATACAAAATAAGAAATGCAATCCTTTCATGACCGCAGTCCATAGAATTCTGACCATGAATCCAAATATGAGAGCGCGCTGGTTAATACACTGACCTCGGAGCAACGGTTTGTGAAACGGGAGGAGCTTGTGAGGAAGGCGGAGGCGGCTGAGAGTAGAACTCGGAATTCTTGACAAAACTGAAGGCTTGAGAGAATGAGCTACTGGGGTGGAAGAGAGAAGACGGTGCCGTTTTGGACTGAGAGGCTTGAAGAACGTCCTGGTACGAGGGAATCTTTATCACAAGCCCCTTCTTCTCGGCGGCGTCCTCTCCGCCCGGTTGTTCCTCTTCCCGCTCTTTGCCATCCATCTTCACTTCTAAACCATGAAGGATATCTTGAAGTGAAAGAATTTTAAGAAAAAAATTCAAAATGATATACTAGCTCTACCTCCGTTCCGCTACTATTGTCTTATTTTATCTTGTTGGTCAGTCCCACTAAAATTGTCTCATACTAAATTTGATAAAGTTTGTGTGACTCTAAATCATTCTTACTTTATTCTTACTTTATCAATTCAATGTCATCCACATAAATCACTTTTTATTAATTTGTGTGTCACTTCCTCTTATCTCATTGTTAGCAGGACGGAGGGAGTAGCATACTATACAGACTATTTTTCAATTTATTTTCACCAACTTTTTTTCCTTTTTTCCAATTTGTTTTTTACCAATTTATGATTTTGTATTATTTTTCTTTATTCAAACTTACATTTTTTGTTTTCAAAAAGTAAATAATGATTTTTTATGCTATCTTAATTCTAAAAATTTATACTCCGTATTTTCTATTTTTTCATTTTCGTATTTCTAGTTTCTTTCCATTTTCTTTATTTTATGTCATGTTCTATAAATTAAATGATAGTATAGTTTATCATTTAATTTTAGTGATTTGGGGTAAATGCCATGGTTTCGACGGTTTTGACTATTTTTAATGAAAATGTATTGAGATTAAAATTTTAAGTAATATAATGGAAATTGTAAAAATGTAGAAAAAGTGTATCAGAGTGGTAATAATAATCCCAACTATTTTTAAAACATTTTACATCGTACTAAAATATTTTACTTGGGTGAGTGTGGTAAACTATTTTACATCCGTTAATAAGGAATGTAAAATAATGATTTACTACTAAACTCTAAGACGCCAAAAGAAAATCATACAGAGTACACAAATTATACCATGAGATTGAGCCACTTTTCGCATGGTGTCTGCTGCTTTCACGTTCGTTCGTAGTCATTTTTATTGTTTATCTTTATTTCAACTTCTTCCTATGTTTTCCAACCACCTGTTACTTTGATCTCCTTTTGACCTATGTTTAAGAAACCAGACCACGAAGCGCTCCGACTGCGTCACTAGGTCTGGGTCAACCCGGTCAATGCAATAAAACCGGTCAATCATTTAACAATAATAAACATATAATTGTATACAAAATTAAAATAAGAGGTAGATATTTCATAATAATCAACTAATAATAATACTTTCAAAACACTTAGAAGTTAAAAAAGTCTTATAATTGTATACCATTTTGATCTAATTAAAATATATTATGATACTTCATATTTGTTATTTTAATTGAACATTCATTATCCGCTATATTTTGACATGATTTTATTCTTAAACAAATAAGTAGTATATAAATACATTGCATATTTTTTCCTTTTTAGGGTATTGAAATTGTAATTTTAGTGGTTATAAATGCTTTAAAATTTTTAAGAAATTGAAAAACAACCAAAATCTGGGGTTTTTCGGGTTTTTTGGGGTTTTCGGGTCTGAGTTTGGACCTAGTTTTGTCGAGTCGGCCGGGTTTTTCCGGTTTTGACCATTTCCGGGGTTTTAATTAACCGAGCCGGGTTTCGGTCTGGGTGGTCGGATTTCGGGTCAACCTAACCGGATCGGGTCGGTGTTTTAAACATAGCTTTTGATATTTTCTTTTTTCTTTTACCATATAAATTACGTAGTATAATTTACTCATAATTAACTTCCTTAAAGGAATAGTTTATTGAAATTAAATTTTCCTTAAAGGAATTTTTTTTTTCTTCCTCAACGGAATAGTTTAGTAAAATTAAATTCTGAAAGTGTCAATATTAGTATCAAAAAGTTTATTAATCTAAATAAAATAAGTATATTGCATTTCATATTCATACATTGTTTTTGTTTCTGTAGTATTTTTATATTCATGCACTTTTTTGTAATATATTTTTATTTGCGTGCACACACATTCTCTATAACATAATTTTTATCACTTTTAAATAAGCACACAAAAACTCAACTATCACACAAATGATAGTTAGTGATGGATACGATGCGCAGCCGGCCCTAGACGGCGATTGAAGCTCGTCGCTCATCGCAGAGGGGAGCGGCGGATCTCTCGCCGGTACACGGCGTTTCCCTAGCTCGGGCTAGTCTCTTGGGCGGGCGGCGTTGATCCTTATTGGCGCTTTGGAGTCCCGGGTTTGCTAGTTTTCGAGTTAGAATGGTGCAAATGGCTTTCAATGATTTCGAAGGTGATCGTGGATCTGCGAAGGCTATGGTTGCGATGATTGGTTTGGCTATGTTGGCTCTGATGGTGTCTGTGATGGGAGTTGTACCAGCTGTGTTTGATCCAGGTGGAACGTGTGCGGTATCGGTCTTGGTTAAAGGAGGTGAATTTGGGCTTCAATCGCTTGCTGGGGGATCGGCGTGGTTGTTTTGGCCGCCTCAGATGGTGGAGGAAGAAGATGGGATATGGATGATTCGTCCCCCTCCTAAACCGCCGCCGCAGAGGAGTTACGCAACTAAGGCCTGGAAGACGGTGACGCAACTGCTATTTATTTATTTTTGCTATGTCCTGGTTGATAATCTTTATTTTGGTTTTTTAGGTAAAATAAAAAGGGTGGTAGGTTCTTAGTTTGAGTTACCTTAGTTGTTAGATTTTTGTTGAGAGGCAATCAGGCTGATTCGGCCGTTAATAGCCTCAAAGCTCTCACATTTTCAGCGATTAGTCTCGCTCCTGTTGGGGTTGACAACTCTATGTCTAAGGAAGAAGTGAGGGGGCCGGTGGGCTTCTGGTTATGTTTGTTTAGAGAGAGGATAGCGTCGGGTGATTACGTTTGTGTTTTGCGATTTCTCTTGGATGTACTGCGAGTTTCGATTTAATATAATATGTTAGTTTTCCTTTCAACAAAATCACTTTTATATGTTTTTAGAGGTTTTTAAAACATTGATTTTGTTTATTTTGATTCTTGAAGTTACATTTGATAATATATCATGAAGTTAGATTTTCTTATGCACGAGTTACATCTTATCATGCGTAACAACGTAACTTACATCTTCTTATGCGTGAGTTACATGTTTTATGCGCGAGTTACATCTAATCACCCATCAATCACATCTAATTATTTGTGATTTTTTACGTATCTTTATCTTTAACTATTTAAATTACAACTGAATTAATTTATCTTTACCAATTTATTACAAAATTTTATTAATCCACGTAAAATAAGTATATTGTATTTCATAATCTCACACTATTTTTTACTTTTTTTCACAACTGAAATTACTAACTAATTTTTTTTGTGTATTTTTTTTACATTTATACATTTTTTTTGTAAAACTTTGTTTATATTCATACACTTTTTTCTATAATATATTTCTTATCTCTTTTACATATTTTTTTTGTCTTTTAAAGACATTAAGTTTGGTTATTTCGATTTAAATTTGAAAAACTATGAGATTACATTTTTTCATATGTGTGAGTTATGCTTATAGACAATTTCTATGGTTACATTTGATATTATATGAAGTTGCATCTTTTTATGCACGAGATGCATCTTCTTGTATATGAGTTACATCTTTCTATGCACGAGTTATATTTGAACATGCATCAAAAAATTATATTTTGCATACACCTAAGTTAGATTTTCCATATATAGCACGATTTATATTACAATATAAAGCCTTGCTGTTGAAACAAAAAAAATCAAATCATTTTCCCCCCAAAAATTTGATTTTTTGGGGAAAAATGATTTCTTTAAACATTTTATGGTCTTAATATTAAAAACAAAACATATTCACTATAGACATAGTCGATCGTCGAGCTTACCTTACAGAGGCCGTGATTCCAACCCTAAACCCTGCCTCTACGTCGTTCAATAACTGCGCGTAAAGAACCCTGCGGCCGCAGCACGCTAGGCCCCCCCCGCATAACTTTAGTTTTTCTATTCCAAACCGTAGAATACGAGTATATTTGTTATCACACTTGTATAGTATAAAGGTAATAAAGGGAGAAATGATCCTGTCCAGCAACCCCCGATCTGAACACCGTCCGAACATCGCCATTTGGGGCACTTCCGGGTGGATGTTTTTGATGAATTGTTTTGAGCAATTTCTTCATCAACTTTAGTTTATCCATACAAAGTTTAAGCTCAAAATTCGATCAGGAAGACAGTCAAATCATTTTTTGAAGTTGACTGCGTTTTTATATGTATATTTTTGCGCAGTCAACTTCAAAAATGATTTGACTGACTTCCCTATCGAATTTTGGGCTGAAATTTGGTATGGATAAACTAGATTTGATGAAGAACATGCTCAAAAAACTTAATCAAAAAATTCCACCGGGAAGTGCTCCAAATGACGATGTTCGGACGGTGTTCGGACCGGGGGCTGCTGGACATGATCATTTCTCGTAATAAAGGTATATTTGTTCCTTTTATCTTTTTTAATTAAGGGAGAACTACCAAATAAGCCCCCGAACTTTCATAAAAAGTGGAAATAAGTTTTTTTACAGGAGGCTTTGTCCGACTGTCGCCATTTGGGACGGTTTGCGGTGGAACTTTTTGATAATTTTTTTGAGCATCTTCTTCATTAAGTCCAGTTTATTCATACCAAATTTCAGCTAAAAATTCAATTGGAAAGGCAGCGCAGTGTACTTCAGAAAATCATTTGACTGCCTTCTCGATTGAATTTTTAGCTGAAATTTGCTTTGAGTAAACTAGATTTAATGAAGAAGATCTTATTTGATAAATCTCTTTAATTAATTATAGGACAAAGTTGAGCATAATTCCATAACCCCCCATTCAGCTCACATAATTTTCATTTTCCCAACATTTCACAGAAAAAAATGAGTGGGAGTTGAGAATGAGATGAGTTTTTTTTTGAAGAGAGAGTGAGATGAGTTCATCACCCTCAAACTCTTCTAGGCCGGGGAGGTTCTTTGATTTGCTTGTGAAGAAACACTGCTGGGCTAAGGCTGACACGGTGCCTGGCCGCCACCCAGACCGGTGGCGCAAGGATTCTGCCGGCAACATAGTCTGCAAACGCTTCTGCAATTGTCAAGGCTGCCTCTGTTTTGAATATGATCACATTGTCCCTTTCTCCAAAGGCCAGTCACTCTCTAGCCCTACCATGTCTACATACCCACTCAATAACTGATCTTAAATTCTTCTTCTATGGATGGAATTGAAGAACTTAGGGTTTTCTAACCTTTCCTCTCTATGTTTTATTGTCTAAATGGGGGATCAATGGAGTTAGGAACTCAACACTAGTATCACCTCCAGTCCAGTAGACATACTAAATTTAGAGTTTTTTCCTAAAATATTGTTAATAAAAATATGGATAAAATGTGATTATAACTTACTGTAGATGGAGTTTAGATGAGGTTTGTTGAAGATAAGTGGTGTGTTTTGAACTATTGGTTGGTTGTAACTTGTAATTCGTTTGGTATTTTAATATAAGTTTCTTTTCCGTTAAAAAAACTTATTAAGTTACTACGGCTAAGTTTTATACTCACTCCATCCCAAAAAGGTTCGACAAATGACCTTTCTTGGTTAATGCAATCAATTTTGGCTAATGATTTCCTATTCTGCCCGCACCATCCAATTCCCCAAACTCCTAATAACTTGTCCACACCAGCCCTCTCTACTGCTCAGCCGATGGCGGTATGTGAACAATGAATAGGCAATGACCAGCGCTGAACGACCAGCAGTGAACGGCCATCGGCGAACAGCGAGCTTGGAGGTGCATAGTCACAAACCTTTGCTCATCTTTCTCCTCCTCTCCTTGATTCTTTCTTCTCTGGTGCAGGTGCTATTTGAAAGCATTGAGATGCTCTATTTCTTTTTGTTTGTTCAAAATGCCAAGTTAGACCTGAAAATGTCATCCAAATGGCATTCATACTCTTCCAAATTTTCGTATTTTCCATTCAAAATGCCATTAAGATGGCATTCCCAATCCATGTTTGGCATTCTAACTAAAATGTTGGCATTAGCGGCGGCGAAGGCTGGATCTGCACTGGCTGAGGCCGGATCTACAGCGGTGGAGGACGGATTTGCGGTGACATCGGTCGGATCTACAGGGCTGGCTATCGGCGAGTCGGCGACGGCCAGATCTACGTCGGAGGTGGCCAGATCTGTACCGGCGATGTTGAGATCTGTAACGGTTGTTTCCGGATCTACTACGAGGATCAGTTTTGAGGAAGTGGCGGCGGCCGGTGGCTGCCGGCGGTGACAGGAGACCGGCGGCGGGGCGGCGACAGACGAGGTGTCCAATTATCACTTCCAAACATCAAGGGCGTTTTTGTCCAATTACGGATTATTACTCCTATTTAGAAATTTTTTAGACTTTAGTCCTATTTTGGCAATTAAAAATTGATTTACTCCTATTTAGGTAAATACCTCTTTTTTTTAACATGAAAGTATTTTGAATATGAAAATTATGTCAAAATTTTCCTTATTCAAAATACTTTCATAAGAGTATGAAATTTATAAACAATGTACAATATAATCATTAAAATTACTGTCCAAAGTTTGCCATCATTGATCATGAAAAGTCAATTTGACAAACCTTTTTGGGACGAATTTAGTAGTCGATATCACATTTGAATACAATTATAGTCACTAAAGTTATCAACGCCACATTTTTGCCCACTACTTTTATTTTGGTTATATATTTGGAATTATTTCCTAAATTTATCGTTTTCGTGCTTTTTTTTTAAATTCTTCCGTAAGCTGCTCAAAAGTATCAGTTCATTCTTGAAATAAAATATGCATATTATTGTTTCACATTTTCACAGGTATTTATTTTAATTGAAATGGGATCTAGTGACTACTGTAGCTTAAGTTTTGCAACACAGTAATTAATATTAGTGACTTAGTAACTATAATTGACTATAATTGTGTTCATAGTGATTACATGACAGTTACTACGATGTAAACTTTAAACACAATTATAGTAACTAATAGTTACCAAGTCACATTTTTGTGCATGACCTTTTTATTAGTAATATTTTAAGAAAATTGTCTTTATTTTTAACCCTATAAAAACTATTGATTTTCCTTCGCGCTAGGCTTATTTTGATAGTAAGATGTGTGGGGCATTGCAAATCATGCAGGAGGTGAATCAGTGGCTGAGAATTGCCAGATTCTCCAAACGAGAGTGAATAGGCTCAAATCAGATAAGAATGAGATTGATGTTACTCGGTTAAAGGGATACTCATGCGATATAAAGTTCACTGGTATTTTTCTTCTTTTGCATTTCATCGTTTTTTTGTATTTCCCTATGAGTTTCAGTACTGTACTCATCTCTTTAAATTTTCTGCACTATGCCTCATTTAGCACCTGAACTTTATAGGCCCTACTCTATAAATATCTCAGTTTTGGTGTTACATGTTGGTAACTCATGTTCTTATGAATTCACATTGATTAGTATAATGGATTGTGAAAGCTTCACGCTTGTTATGTATATGTCATTGTTGGTACACATAATGCAATTACACGTATGATATAGTATGTTAGATAATTTTAGAATATATAGATAGTATTTTAAGAAATGGCGACAAATTTTGGAGAACAAGAGTTTTAAGCGTAGTCGAAACAAAACTGAGTATACAGAGTGTAAGTTTGGTGGAGGTAGAAGCAAGGATAACAGTGGGATTACCTTAAATGGAAGGAAATACCGAGTGATATGTTCTGCTACCTGGCTCCACAGTTAAGAAGGATGATGAACTAGATGAAGATGTATCCCATAGATTAAGAACGCGGTGGATGAAAATTGAGGTATGCCGACTCAAGAGTAATTTTTATGAGAAAGCAATTAAGCTCGCATTACTATATAATGTATATAGTGTAATAGTGTAGAACTTTGGGCGGTGAAACAATGTCACATTCAAAAGATGAGTGTCGCTGAGATGCACATATTTCATCAGATGTTTGGACGTACTTAAAAATATCGCTTAAGGAATGAGGCAATAGGACAAAAGGTAATGACAGGGATTACAAGTCTTTCATGCTCAAGCTTTGTCATGCTTAAGATCAGGCTGGTTTTCCTCTGAGATGAAATGTTGCCTTGTAAAGTTTGATATAACTGCCTTAGAATTTTTTCCCAAAAAGATATAAAAGTGTCAAAATGATCTGCCTATTGCTTTGAAAAAAGGAGTTCGTGCTTGCACTAAACATCCCATTGGCAATTTTGTGTCCTATAAAACATTATCTCCGTCCTATCAAGCATTTGTTTCAGCTCTTGATAGTGTGCGGATTCCTCACATAATTCAAGAAGCACCGATTGATCCGAGTTGGAAAAAGGCTGTACAAGATGAAATCAATGGGGAAAATCTGTTGGGGATAGAAGGAGATGTTACTGATAGGAGTACTTCAGGAGTACTTCTGGTTACTATCTTATGTTTGGGGAAATTTAGTAACATGGAGAAGTAAGAAACAGTCAGTTATTTCTAGAAGTTCAGCTGAAGCAGAATTCAGAGCGCTAGCTCTTGGCATATGTGAAGGGATGTGGCTGAAATGATTACTCGGCGAGCTGGGGGTATTTAAAGAAGGGTCTATACAAATGTTTGTGACAATCAGGCTGCTTTTAGCATTGCCAAAAATCCAGTTCATCACGACAAAACTAAGCATATTGACATAGACAGACGCTTCATTACTGAGAAGATAGAGAACTCCATCATTCAAGCATGTTATATCCCATTAAAATTTCAAACTGCTGACATTCTCACGAAAGCTCTACCAAGAACTGTTTTTAAAGAATTAATTAGCAAGCTTGGGATGTTTGACATTCACAACCCAGCTTGAGGGGAGTGGATTTATTTCCTAATTTAGAGAATATTTACCGTTGTATTTTAGATCTGATTTGGTATTAATACCAGATCTCCTGTATTTTATTCTTTCTAGAAATAGGATATTCTATTGTCTAACTTAGCAGATTGTATAGTTAATGTCTTAGATTCTCACCCCGATAGGTTGTATAAATATCCTGCCATTCTGAGATAATAGGACATCACAAATATTCAGAATTTCACACATTCAATTCAAACTGTTGTTCAACCCGAGCTATCCACCCGATCGGGCCTTCTCCGTCGAACGTTGTCAGCAAGGTTGGAGTGATGCTGCGCGGCCGTCCGTCGCCGCGGTGCACAATTATGGCGGTGCTGCCGACCGCGTCCGAGCTCGTTCCCGTCGGACTGGCGGAATGAGTGCCTTGGTAAGTGCCGCCAGGGATGCGGTGATCTCTGCCAGACACATGCCGTGCTCCTCCAGGGTTTGATTCATCCGGGCTTGCTCGGCCCCCATCCGGGTTTGCTCGGCCCCCATCTGGCTTTGCTCGGCCTCCATCTCTGTCATGCAATCACTCTGAGATCTCATCATTCCGGCGGGACGGGATCCGGCAGGTTGCACCAATTAATGAAAGCAGAAAAATAAACAATCAATGGTAGCCACCGTTGCCCAAGCTTTAAAGCTAAAACTCCAATATTATTAGTGGATGATCCCTACAACCCTTCTTAGGGGTTTAAATAATCCTCTAAACAAGGTTGTCAAAGGCGTAAGGCGCACCTAAAGCGCTAGGAGTCTTCCAGCGCTTGAGGCGCAAAGCGCAAAAAAGCGCTCGCCTGACTCGGGTGAAGCGCATTACTTATATAAAGTCACATATACTATTCTATAAATACCAAATATGATGTATGTAACATCATATTGAACCAAATGCATCAAAAAAGCTAGGATTCACCAAAATAAAGTCATGATTCACAAAAACAGAAGTCTAAATTTAGAATTCATGGCTTTAATACTAAAAGTAAAACTAAAAGACACTGAAATCCGAGCCTATTTCCCCTCCTTAAACTTGTGAAGGACTATTCGTAATTAAAAGAGGAGTCAGTTTCTTCTCCATTATCTGATTTGTATTCCCCAACATCCTCTTCAATTTCTCCCTCACTTTCCTCATCCACAAGCCTACGAGTAGTACTTGAACTCGCATTTCTGGAGTGCTTTCTAGTATATCTTATTGGTTCTTCTGCTCCCGTTGCCCTACTCACAGCACCCCACGTCAAGCCATCACCTTCATCATCACTGAAAACCGAGTCATCTGCTGCACTTGCATTCACATTTCCAGCCAACCACTCATTGCAATCATCAATGTTATCTAAAGCAATCGGATCTGTGATATCTTTAGAGTCAAAGCGAGCTTTTAAAGTTGCATTGTACTTCACAAATACTAAGTCATTTAGCTTCTTCATTCCTAGCCTGTTCCTTCTCTTTGTGTGAATCTAGAACATAAAGAAATATACATTACTTCTTTTAAATGTTTAATATTTGATTCCTAGAAGTTGTCAATTCAAAACTTACTTGTTCAAACACGCTCCAATTGCGTTCGCAGCCTGAAGAGCTACAAGTTAGGCTAAGAACTCTCATTGCCAGCTTTTGTAAGCTTGGAGTTGTGCTTCCATACAAGCGCCACCATTCAGCTGCATTTTTTATTTTTCACGTGCAAAAAGAAAACATTAACATACTGTAGAGTGTAGAATTAGAGATGCTATATACTGCCTACTGCATAAAGCCTGTTGTATACTGCCTATATTATATGGCTACTACTGACATACTGCCAATATATCTACATACTGAAACTATAGATATATTACTTTATGGCTACTGACAGTACCTACTGCCTACTGGCAGTAATATGTATTGTGCATACATTACCTGGTTACTGCCTATATTATGAAGAAACTATAGATATATTACTTTATGGCTACTGACAGTACCTGGTGATTTAGTCTTTCTTGTCAAAATCGCCAAATTGATTCCAAAAAGGCCTTCAGCTCTTGTATACTTGGACAACTCATCAATAATCTCTAGTTGCTCGTTTTGTTGTGGAACTAACTTTGCGATACAAGCATAGAGTCCAGTTGTGATCTCATTATTAAATTCAACTTGAGGATCATCATAGAAACATGCTGGATTGAGATAATGACCAGCCGCATGTAGTGGATGATGGAGCTGATCTTCCCATCTTCTATCAATGATTTCGAAAGTAGCTTTATAGTTCTCTTCTTTTCCATTGAAAGCCTTTATTATAGCTTCTTTGGCTCTATCCATCGCTTCATACAAGTATCCCATTGCCGGCTTCTTCTCATTGTCTACGAGTCGAAGAACTTTCACAAGAGGACCCATAAGTTTGAGTATGTAATATGCATTATCCCAAAAGGTAGGCATTAGCATAATGTTTTCAACTTGTTTCCCACCTATCTCTTTAGCCCACTTGCTGAAATTCCAGTCACTCTTAGAGAACAAAGCCCGAAGATTCATTTTTTGCTTATAGATGCTCTTTAAAGTGAGGTAGCATGTGCAGAATCTTGTCTTCCCCGGTCTTATTAGATTTCTCTGCCCCGTATACCTCCTCATTAAATTCAATAATCCCGTTCGATTATAAATAAAGTTAGTCACACTCATAGCCCGTTTCAAGGTGTTTGAAACCAAAGGCAGCTTCCCAATGTCCTGTAGCATTAGATCAATGCAATGCGCACCACACGGCGTCCAATATATTTTTGGCCTCTTGATTTCTAATAACTTACCACCTAACTTAAAATTAGTACCATTATCGGTAACAACTTGCACAATGTTTGCTTCCCCAACATATTCAACAAATTCATCCAATAACTCCAGCACATTTGGACCGGTTTTTGAGTATGAAGACGCATCCACAGATTTGATAAACACACAACCAGCCAAAGAATGAACCAAGAAGTTAACAATGCACAGACCTGTGGTGCTAGTCCAGCCATCTGCCATTATAGAACAGCCATGTTTGACCCATATAGCTCTATGGTCAGCTAGCATGTTTTGGAGGTTAGCAACTTCTTTCTTCAAACATGTGACCCGCACTTCATGGTAGCTAGGGGGCTTCAAATTAGGACCATATTGTCCTATTGCCTCGATAGCACATTTAAAAGAATGGGTCCGGGCAACATTGAAAGCAATCCCGTTCTCGTAAAAACAGTTTGATATATATTGTATAGCTACTTCTCTTCTTTGCTTATCCAACTTCTCATCGATCTTCAATTGCTTCAGTCTTCCTTGCTTTCGCAGCTCCACTACTGTTTCTGGCTTCTTGAAGATAAAAGAGTCCATAGGACCTTTTAGTTTTCCCTTCTTTGAAGATGCTTTGGTCTGCTGCACATGACCAGGTCTTTTTAGCTTTCCTCTAGGATCTTTCTGCAGCTCCTCAAGTTCACTGTCATCATCTTCCAGATCATGGAATGCATCAAAATCCGGATGTTCTGGCAGTTTATCATAATTGATCTTGGCATCCTTTTTGGATTGCTTATATTCCCTAAGCATCTTTTTCACATCGTCTGGACATTTCAAGCAAGCCTTCGCATTTCTATTCCCTCCTATTTGATGAAGCTTTGCCCGGTAAATCCCTCCGCTAGTTACTTTTCCACAGTAAATGCAGGTAACTGATTTAGGATCTTTTTTGTTAACTAAGTAGTTGTGTTTCCAAGCTGGGTCATTTTTTGTAGAGTTTTCACTTTCAGCACCACCCACAGAACTTGTTCCACCTTCCATATCCTAGAAAAGATCAAAGCTGGAATCAGTACATATATCTTTAGTACATATATAATGGAATCAGTTTGTTAATTGATACATAAAGTTACTATATGGAATCAGTTTGATATATAAAGTTAAGAACATACATCTTTACTCTTTAGTACATTAGCACATATAACTTTAATATGTACATATATCTTTACTTCTTTAGTACATATAAAGTTAAGATATATATCTTTAGTACATATATAATCGGTTGGTTAACTGATACAGTGATACATAAACTTTATGGAATCAGTTTGATATATAAAGTTAAGAACATATAAGAACATATAACTTTAGTATGTATATTAGTATTATATACAATGTAGAGTACTATATATGTATATTACAAAGCAGAGTACTATGAGTCCCTATGACAGTATGAGTATTATATACATAGTAATATACTAAAAAATAAAAAAGCAGAGTACTATGAGTCTATGGATAAAGAAGACAGTAAATGAAGGTAATTGAAAAGGCATGAGACTGCATGAAAAAGAAGATATACCTTGTTTACTGCTACGATGGAGAGCTGCGTATGCTTGAGATGATGAAGCTGAAAGAACCGGCTGGTGTAGAGCAGCTTGAGTATAGAGTGACAGAGTGAGGAAAGCGAGGAGAGTGAAGAGGATGGCTAGCGGTTAAGCTTTGTAGTGTCTTGCGCAAGTTTACGTTTTTACGTACTATTAAGCTTAGTTTTACGTAGGTTAAACTTACTTTAACCTATTGTTTTCATGGGCTGAGGACTATTAAGATATGGGCTTTTTTTTCAAAGTTTTAAACTAAAAAAGGGCTGTCAGCCTTTTCCGTTTCAGGCGATGCAGGCGCGCGCCTATAGCGCTTCCGCGCTTCGTGCGCTTCTAGCGCTTATGCTGCGCCTTGCCCAGGGTTGTGCGCTTCTACGTTACTCAGGCGCTAGGGGTCTACCTCGCTGCGCTTTGTGCGCTTAAGCGCAGAAGCGAGCGCTTTTGACAAGCTTGGTTACATCACAGGAGAAATCAAACCAAAACTACCTGCAGAAGAAGGTTACCAAACCTCATATTTTTATGAAAACTACATGGAGGTCAGAGAATTCACTCATAACAGCTTGGCTTCTCAACTCCATGGAGCCCTTAATTGCCAAACCTCATATGTTTATGAAAACTGCAAAGGAGGTATGAGACTCTATTAAGGAAACTTATTCAGATCTTGAGAACTCTTCTCAAATTTTTGAACTCAAAACCAAACTGTGGCAATCTAAACAAGGAAATAGGGATATTATTTCATACTACCATGAAATGGTATCTCTATGGCAAGAATTAGATCAGTGCTATGGTGATGAAGAGTGGGAGAGTGCTAAGGATCTGGCCAGACATAAGAAAAGAGAAGAGAATGATAGGGTCTATATGCTTCTAGCAGGGATCAATAGGGACCTAGATGAAGTAAAAGGAAGAATACTGGGAAAGAAACCTCTGGCCTCAATCAGAGAGGTCTTTTCTGAGATCAGGTTGGAAGATAGCAGGAGGAGGGTCATGTACAACACTCCAGTACCTAATGAGGAACCTGGGGACTCTTCAGCTTTAGTGGCCAGAAGTGATGACAAGAAAAAACCTTGGTGTGATCACAACAAAAAATTGTGGCACACAAGGGAAACTGATGGACCATGCAATATCGAATACAGAATTCTCAAGAACAACACACAGTACACACACTTTATTCACCAGATCAAAGTATACAAGCTGTAGACAATTCGAGATGCCTAATCTCCCAGTCCTGTTCTAGCCAAGAGTCTAAAAACTACCTTCAGCTAGCTGAGCTCTTCTATTTATAGTAATGTCCACGCAGAGACAATAACTAACTAACTAACCCGTTAGTTATTAGTTATTAGTTATTAGTTATTAGCAGCATCCCTATTAGCTCTTCTTTTATACACTTTATTATAAAATTCCACCGACTGCCTTGCTGCATGTCTAACAATACTCCCCCTAGAAATTCACCTTGTCCTCAAGGTGAAACTCTGGAAATTGTTCTTTGATCATTTTCATCGACTCCCATGAATCTTCAAATTGTGGCAGATTGCTCCAATGAACCAACACTTCCCAATTACCATCTGCATCAACCCTTGTGTCCAAAATTTCTTCTGGCACCACTTGTAACTCCCATTCTTCATTCAGACACTTGGGTAGAGGTTGAAAGTAGGTAGTAGATGAGATAGCTTTTTTTAACAAAGATATATGAAACACAGGATGAATTTTGCTATCTTCTGGCAACTTCAGCTTAAAAGCCACAGAACTGAGTTTTTCAATTATCTGAAATGGACCATAAAATCTTGGGCTTAATTTTTGGTTCACCCTCTTAGCTAAACTCCTCAGCTTATAAGGTTGAATTTTCAGATAAACCCGATCCCCTATCTCCAATGTAACCTCTCTCCTGTGCTTATTGGCCTGCTGCCTCATCTGATTCTGAGCTTTGGCCAAATTCTCTTTCAACTCATCTAATATCATATTCCTCTGAGGAGTCAGTTTTGAAACTTCTTCTATTGCAGTAACTGTAACATCTCCTCTAATTACTGCAGGAGGGTCCTGTCCAAATAGAGCCTTGTAAGGAGTGCTTTTCAGTGCAGCATGATAGTTAGTATTGTACCAATACTCAACCCAATGTAACCAGTTAAGCCATTTTTTTGGTTTTCTTCCTGTTAAACACCTGAGATAAGTTTCCAAGCATCTGTTAACCACCTCAGTCTGACCATCAATCTGAGGATGGTAAGCTGTACTGTACTTCAATTGTGTCCCAGCTAGTTTGAATAGTTCAGACCAAAAAACACTAGGAAAACACTATCTCTGTCACTGACTATAGTTTTAGGAAACCCATGTAATCTGACCACTTCTTTAATGAACACATCAGCTACCTCCTTAGCATTGTAGGGATGTGATAAAGCAATAAAGTGAGCATATTTAGTTAATCTGTCCACAACTACCAGTATAGTATCCTTTCCTTGTGATTTGGGTAGTCCTCCAATGAAATCCATGCTAATGTCAGTCCAAATGCTATTTGGGATAGGAAGTGGTTGTAGTAGTCCTGCAGGCTTCAAAGCTTGATATTTATTAGTCTGACAAACCACACATTCTTCCACCCACTTCTTTATATCCTTCCTCATACCTTGCCAAAAGAAAAGACTGGATACTCTCTTCATGGTTCTAAAATATCCTGAATGTCCTCCCATGGCAGTTTCATGATATTCCCTCATGATCTTTATGATTCTGGGTGATCCTTGAGGTAGAACTAGTCTCTTGTTATAATATAACAAACCTTTAATGATCTGAAATTCTGAATATTGATCTGGATAAGAAATCACCTTCTGAATCAACTCTGCACACTTGATGTCAGCCTTCAATTCTTCTTCCAACCCATCCCATTCTTGACATGTCACAATTGAAAGAGACCGGAGCATAGGTCTTCTAGATAGAGCATCAGCAGCTCTGTTTTCTATCCCAGGTCTATATCTGATGATGAAATTGTACCCCAACAACTTAGAAGTCCACTTCTGTTGTTCTTCACCCATTAATCTTTGCTCTGTCAGAAACTTCAAACTCTTTTGGTCAGTTACAATCTCAAAAGTTCTTCCCAACAAATAGGGTCTCCACTTCTGTACTGCTAACACAATAGCCAAGAGCTCTCTTTCATAGACTGATCTGTTTTGGTTTCTTTTAGATAATATCTTGCTCATAAAAGCCACAGGTCTGCCTTCTTGCATGAGAACTGCACCTAAACCAGTTCCAGAAGCATCAGTCTCCAGAATGAATGTCTTATTGAAGTTAGGTGTAGCTAGGACTGGGAGTGAAGTCATGGTTCTTTTTAACTCCTCAAAAGATTGTGTAGCTTGTTCTCCCCACTGAAAACTGTCTTTCTTTAGGAGTTGTGTAAGGGGTGCTGCAATCTTACTGTACCCCTTTACAAATTTTCTGTAATAGCCAGTTAACCCCAAAAACCCTCTCAACTCCTTTAAATTCTGAGGTTTTGGCCAAGTAACCATGGCTTCAATCTTGGTAGGGTCTGCTGTTATTCCTACTCCAGAAATAATATGCCCCAAGTAGACTAATTGAGGTTGTCCAAAAGAGCATTTCCTTGGGTTAATCACCAATTGATTATCCCTCAAAGCAGATAGGACTGCTCTCAAATGCTCTATGTGGTCCTCCTTAGTTCTACTGTATACCAAGATATCATCAAAAAAGACTAAGGCACACTTTCTCAAATAAGGCCTTAATACCTGGTTCATCAAAGCTTGGAAGGTAGAGGGAGCATTAGTTAGTCCAAAGGGCATCACCAAATATTCATAATGGCCCTCATGTGTCCTGAAAGCTGTCTTCATCCTATCTTCTTCTTTCATCCTGATCTGATGGTAGCCAGATTTTAGATCCAACTTAGAAAATATGGTAGCCTCCCCAAGTTCATCAAGTAGTTCTTCAATTACTGGAATTGGATATTTGTCAGGAACTGTGATTTTGTTAAGGGCTCTGTAATCTCCACAGAACCTCCATCCACCATCCTTCTTCTTGGCTAAGAGTATGGGACTGCTGTAAGGACTATTGCTATTCTGGATGATCCCAGAATCAAGCATTTCTTTCACAATCTTCTCTATTTCAGTCTTCTGGTACTGTGGGTACCTGTAAGGTCTGATATTAGGTATCTGAGCTCCTTCCTGAATAGTTATAGAGTGATCACAGTTTCTTCCGGGAGGTAAACCCTCTCTAGGTTTTGTAATTTCTGGAAATTCTTCCAAAATCTGCTTCCAAATGGTTTCCAGTCCTCCTTCTTGCTCCATTTCTATGTTCTTTCCTTCACAATATAAGAAATAACCATCTCCATTATCACATAATATTTGTGAAAATGTTTTCAATGACACTTCCATTGAATTCAGTTTGGGATCTCCTTGAATGCACACCTCCTGCTCCCACTGTTTCCATTTAATTTTCTGTTTCTGAAAGTTTATCTCTACATCTCCCAAACTTGTCAACCAATCCATACCCAATACCAAATCAGTGCCCCCTAAATTTAGGATATAAAAATCCGGTATTATCTCAACTCCTTGTAGGTTCAATCTCAACTGAGGACACTTCTTATTATTGGATATATGATCCCCATTGCCAATCTGCACCTTGTAATCAGAAACTGTCTGAAAAGGCAGTTTCCATTGCTCAACCAACTGCTGTGAAATAAAGTTGTGGGTAGCCCCACTGTCAATCAACACATTCACATGTTGATCTCTTGATTCTCCCCTCAGAATCCCCTGCACTTTGAAAGCCCTCATGGTAGGAATCCCTTCTTTGCTCATCAAGGATAACTACATAGACTTAGATTCCATTACTTCATTACAAACATTTTCTGGTATGGTAACTTCAATTTGTTCTGACTGTTCTTCCTCAACTGCTTCTTCAACCAACATTAACTTGAAATTTTTCAATTTACAAGTATGTTCTTTACTCCACTTTTCACCACATTTAAAACATAGCCCCTTTCTACTTCTTTCCTGAAATTCCTCTTGAGATAACAAGGGTCCTGTTCTTTTAATTCCAGTTGGGTAATAATCAATAGTCTTCTTACCAATCTTGTCCATTCCAGTATTATTATACTTATTCTCAGCTACAATTTTACTCTGAGATGGCCAGTTGTAACCAGATTTCATTCTGGAATTATCTCCCCAACTCTGTCCCTTGACTGGTACAGAACCTCTTTCCCTTACTGTCAGCTTGTCCTCTTCCTTCTTTTTTCCAAACTGTGTTTCAATCTTCTGTTCAATAAGTACAGCTCTATCCATGATCTCAGTTAAAGACCTGGATGCATACATCTTCAACTCAGATTTTATCTCATCCTTCAAACCTGACATGAATACCCCTCGCAGCAATTCCCCATCCATATGCAATTGTGGAGCTATCACCATTTTGAACTCTTCTCGATAATCTTGCACATTTCCAGTTTGTCTCAAACTTAGCATTGGTCCATACGGATTCTGAATCAGTTCTGGTTGAAATCTGCGAATGACAAATTTCTTCAAAGCATCCCAACTTGTTTCCTCAGTTTGATTCTCCCACAAATGGAACCAGTTAAGTGCTCTATCCTCCATCGCGATCATAGATGCTTCAACTTTTTCTTCTTCCGCAATGTGATTTAAACGAAAATATCTCTCCATGCGTATGATCCAATTATAGGCTCCTTCGCCATTGAATAAAGGTAAATCTACCTTTCTAATCTGTGCTCTCATATACTCATTGTTACGTCGAGCATTATGGACAAGAGAGTTAACCGAATTACCTCTGGAGTGTATCGGACTGCGCGAATTCCTCGTATGATGAGTTTGAGGTGTTCGCGACCTTCCTCGGTTCTGAAACTGTGCCGCCATCGCATCAATCTTAGCTGCGAGAACTTCCAATGCAGATTGCGTCTCCTGCTGTTTTTGTTCCATCGAATCCAAACGGCGATCCATTTTTGCTCTCGTTTTAACCATCCAACTTCGAACGAACAAAACTTCTGGATCTTCTCACTTCTGTAATCTCCAGGAGCGAAATGCTCTGATACCAATGATAGACCATGCAATATCGAATACAGAATTCTCAAGAACAGCACACAGTACACACACTTTATTCACCAGATCAAAGTATACAAGCTGTAGACAATTCGAGATGCCTAATCTCCCAGTCCTGTTCTAGCCAAGAGTCTAAAAACTACCTTCAGCTAGCTGAGCTCTTCTATTTATAGTAATGTCCACGCAGGGACAATAACTAACTAACTAACCCGTTAGTTATTAGTTATTAGTTATTAGTTATTAGTTATTAGTTATTAGTTATTAGCAGCATCCCTATTAGCTCTTCTTTTATACACTTTATTATAAAATTCCACCGACTGCCTTGCTGCATGTCTAACAGAAACATGCTGGAAACTTCATGGAAAACCACCAGGAGCTGGAAAGAAGAAAGTGGAGAGGGCCCTACAAACTACTGTGACTGAGACTCAACAAGAGTCAGAAGTTGAATCTAAACAGCTGCCATTCACTCAGGATCAGATAAAGTACCTACTCCAATTTATACCCACCCAGAAAATCTCCAACCAAGAAAACCCTTCCTGTTCTTTTGCCAAAAATGGTAAAATAACATCATTTTTTTGTTCTGAAAAATAAAAAAACACCTGGGTCATTGACTCAGGTGCAACAGACCACATGACCTACATTCCAAATCTCTTTTCTTCATATCAACCTTGTGCCGGAGATAAGAAAGTTAGAGTTGCAGATGGCTCTTTTTCAGCCATAGCAGGGATGGGAAATATTAAAATTTCCTCATCCATTAACCTTTCTAAAGTCTTACATGTTCCAAAACTTTCCTGCAATCTTATCTCTATTAGCAAAATAACCAAAGACCTTCAGTGTTGTGTAAAGTTTTATCCTTCTTATTGCATTTTTCAGGATCTGGCATCGGGGAGGATGATTGGCAGTGCTAGAGAGGAGGATGGCCTCTATGTTTTTGATGAAGGAACACAATTGAATAAACAAGGTCAAGAAAAAACTTGTCTGCAAACTATTTCCTTTCCTTGTAATAATGAAGTGTATTTAATGCACTATAGATTAGGTCACCCAAGTTTTTCCTATCTAAAAATGTTGTTTCCTAAGTTATTTCATACTAAAAATCCTTCATCATTTCATTGTGATATGTGTGCACTTGCCAAACATCATAGGAGTTCTTATATCCCTCACAGTTACAAGCCAACTAGTCCTTTTACTATTGTACACAGTGATATTTGGGGTGCATCTAGAGTTTCAACTTTGAAAGGAAAAAGGTGGTTTGTAACTATCATAGATGATCACACACGGGTCACATGGGTTTTTTTAATTAAAGAAAAATCTGAGGTTGAAGAGGTGTTCAAGAAATTTTACTCAATGATTCAGACTCAATTCAATACTAATATCAAAATTGTGAGAAGAGATAATGGTCTTGAGTATTTTTCTAAAAAGTTAAATAATTTTTTTGCTGAAAAAGGGATTATTCATCAAAGTTCCTGTATAAATACACCTGCTCAGAATGGAATAGTTGAGAGGAAAAATAGACATTTGCTTGAAGTCACTCGTGCAATTATGTTTTCTGCTAGAATTCCAAAATATTTATGGGGAGAAGCTGTTTTACATGCTACCTATTTAATTAATAGGATGCCATCAAAGACTCTAGGATTTAAAACTCCTATTGATACACTTCAAGCCAGTTTTCCTGAAACTAGGCTTATTAACTCTCTTCCCATAAAAATTTTTGGCTGCACAGTTTTTATTACCAACCCTGACAGAACTGCTAGCAAATTTGATCCTAGAGGCAAAAAATGTGTTTTCTTAGGACTATCTTCAACACAGAAAGGCTATAAATGTTTTGACCCTACAACAAAAAAGATGTTTGTAACAATGAACACTGTTTTTGTTGAAAATCAACTTTTTTTTTGGTACTCATCTTCAGGGGGAGATTTCTAATGAAGATGGTGATAATGTGTCACATATCCATGAAAAACTTGAATTTCTTTACATTAGTCTAGATGCACAATATAATAGACAGTTAGATGCACTAGAAAATAGTCAAGAATCAAAAGAAAATGAAATAAAATTTTCTGAGACAAGGAAAGATGATGAACAACAGACAAGTAAATTTTTTGGCAAGGTTTATGAAAGGAGAGTTCCAAACCAAAGAATAGAGGACATCCTTGATCCTGCCACTGCTCATGAATCTGACTCAATGTCAGAAAATGACAAAGGTAATAATTCCAGTGATCTAAATCTACCCATTGCTCTCAGAAAACAAAAAAGATCACGTGTTAAATACCCTATCTCAAACTATTTGTCCTATTCTCAGTTATCTGCATCATTTGCAGCTTTTACCTCTAGTCTTTCCACTGTTTCTATTCCCTTAACCATACAGGAAGCTCTATCTAAACCTGAGTGGAAGAAGGCTGTTTTAGAAGAAATGAATGCTCTTGAAAAGAATCAAACATGGCAGGTTGTGGAATTACCCAAGAACAAACCAACAGTGGGATGCAAATGGGTATTTACCCCTAAATTCAAGGCAGATGGTACACTTGAAAGATATAAGGCCAGATTGGTTGCCAAAGGATATACACAAACCTATGGCATAGATTATACAGAAACTTTTGCTCCAGTTGCAAAATTAAATACTATAAGGATCCTTCTATCTCTAGCTGCTAACCTAGACTGGCCTCTTCAACAGTTAGATGTGAAGAATGCTTTCTTAAATGGGAAGCTTGAAGAGGAAGTATACATGAACCCCCCTCCTGGGTTTGAGGAACAGTATGGCTCAAAGGTGTGCAAGCTGGAGAAAGCCTTATATGGACTTAAACAGTCCCCAAGGGCTTGGTTTGAAAGGTTTACTCAATTCATAAAGAAGCAGGGATTCAAGTAAGCCCAAGCAGACCATACACTATTCATGAAGTTCTCAATTAAGGGAGAGATTGCAGTGCTAATTGTTTATGTGGATGATATCATTCTTACAGGAGACTATTATAAAGAGATTGAAGACCTGAAGAAGAAGCTGGCTCAGGAATTTGAAATCAAAGACCTGGGAGAATTGAAATACTTTCTTGGCTTGGAGATAGCCAGATCAAAGAAGGGAATTGTGGTATCTCAGAGGAAGTATGTACTAGACCTACTCCATGAAACAGGTATGAGTGCATGCAGACCAATAGATACTCCAATTGATCCTAATCAAAAGTTAGGAGGTGTCAAGGAAGGAGTACCAGTTAATGTTCAACAATATCAAAGATTGGTGGGAAGATTGATTTATCTGGCACATACAAGGCCAGATATTGCCTTTGCAGTTAGTATGGTTAGCCAATTCATGCATAATCCATTCCAGGAACATCTAGATGCTACCTACAGAATCCTAAGGTATTTGAAAAACTGTCCAGGGAAATGATTATTTTTTAAAAAGAGTGACAATAGAAGTGTGGAAGCTTTTACAGATGCAGATTATGCTGGCTCAATAACTGATAGAAGGTCTACATCTGGGTATTGTACCTATGTATGGGGGAATCTAGTGACTTGGAGGAGTAAGAAGCAGAATGTAGTTGGTAAAAGTAGTGCAGAATCTGAATTCAGATCTATGGCTAATGGAATCTGTGAACTGCTTTGGATCAAGAGAGTGATTTCAGAGTTGAATATGAAAATGGAACTACCTATGAAGTTATATTGTGACAATAAAGCAGCCATTAATATTGCTCGCAACCCTGTGCTACATGATCGTACTAAACATATTGAAGTGGACAAGCATTTTATCAAAGAGAAGATTGAAGTTGGAATTGTGTGTACACCATTCATATCTACCAAAGAACAAACAACTGATATCTTTACAAAGGGGCTGTTTAAACCAGTGTTTGAACTACTTATAAGCAAGTTGGGAATGTATGATATATACTTACCAACTTGAGAGGGAGTGTAGAAAAATGTAACATATACTATCCTCCGTTCCATAAAAGTTGAAACAGTTTGACTTTCACGTTTGCCAACGCGCAACTTTGACTGTAATTATATTTATTTACGTATTAGTAAACATTAAAAAAAGTTAATATATTGGAAATTTACACTAATACAAATTTATTAATATTTTATACATTATATTTTTATTATGTATATTATTAGAAAATCGTAGTCAAAGTAAGGTGTGTGAATAGTGCAAAAATTCCAATGTTGCAACTTTTATGGAACGGAGGAAGTATTTGTTATTTTAATTATTTGTACATCCGGAACTGTATAGATAAGACTTAGAGTAGATAGAACTCTCTAACTACTAGATAAGCTCGCAGAATAGATAGATCCTATTTTTTAGGATTTGTAACAACTAGGCTTTATCTGTAACTTGTATATATATCATTGCCGGATGGCTCAATAATATTCAAGGAAGATTAATTCTTCAAATCTACAGCTCTACTGTCCAAACATTGGATGATGTCCATGATAGGCTTCTTCAGTTCAGTTACTAATGGCTTGCAAGTTGAATCCTTTGTTTGGGTTCACAAACCATTACCCTGTGTCTGGAGTAAAATGGGGGGGGGGATTGGATTTGAAAGCATTTATATTGTTTCGTATTAGAGAACTGAGAACAAAACGATAGGGGAGGCTCCTTCACGCTCAAGTAGTCAAGTGAATAGTAATGTGGAAAAATGCACCTTTTAGTACGAATTCACCTCTTTTCTTCCCTTTATACATACTGAAATCACTTTAGTTCAAATATTTCCCCCTATATTCCTACCGTATTTCCATTCAACCAAACAATATATATTTTAATCTATTTTTGACCTATTTCTCTTTTCCTTTTGTACCTACCTAGTTCCCCTCCCTCTATATCCTCTCCCCATTCCAAGTGAAGCTTCAACAAGGAGTGCTGGAAAACAATCATATAGAAATTCACAAGGCAAGAACCATAGATGCAGTTATATTTGGCGAAACTTGGGGAACTATTGACATCATTGTCTGTTGTCACACAGTGGCACACTGTACCGACGACCACAGCATTCCGCTAATGCGCTTCATATTGCTAATGTGTTGACAGGAACTGATCATGTAAACTTCCTTTGTTATCTTGTTTTCAAACATGTAGTATTGTGCCTTTATAAACTCACACATGATCTTACTCTTAGTTTAAAAAAGCGCCTCAGGCGCAAGGTGCACCCCTAGTTAGCAATTTCCCGTTTTAAATGCGTTTTAAACACGTACCGTTTTTTTGAACAAAAAAACACGTTTAAAACGAAAAATAATGTCGGTCCGTTTAAAAAGGAAAAAAAACTCTTACTTCCAGTATAAAACGTATTTTTACTGTATTTTACAAAAAATAGAAACATGAAGTGATCAATTGAATGAACACATTAAATGCATAGGAGATCAACAATACTGTAAAAGCAGGAAAAAAGGTCCTCTCCATGAGCTCATGTTTTTGTATTGTTACAATACAATTATTAAATACTAAAATTAATTGCATGGCGTCTAAAGCTAGCATCCCCTACTTTACTTAAAATAAAAACATGAATTGATCAATTAAATGAACACATTAAATGAATAGGAGATCAACAATAGTTTACAAGCAAAAAAGAAAAGTTCCTGTATGTGACCCCATGTTTTTGTATTGTTAAAATACAATTGTTAAATATTAAAATTAATTGCATGGCGGCTAAAGTTAGCATTCTAAAAGACTAAAACTTAAAGTACTAGAGTTCTGATGTTTTTCCAAACAAGCATGTCAAATTAAAGTTTTTCTAAACCTGGCAATTTTTAGTATAAACTTCTACACACAAACAATAATAAGCGCGTGTAGCAGTCGCATAACTTTTCTCATGTCATCCGTCATCTTGATGAAAATGATGAATTTAAATTGAGTGTTATTTGATGAACTTATAAAGATAATGATTTTAACTTAGTCTCATTCTAATTTTTTTGTCTTATTTGTTGACTTTAGTTTGCAAAATCATGTCTTGAACTTAATTACAATTTTTATTTTTGTCATGGACTTATGCAATTACGAATTATTCTTTTATGTAGTAATGGAATTTTCTGCTTTAATATGTGTATACTTTTATTTCCTTTTACTATAGATGTTATGTAAAGTAAATAATTTAAATATTCAAAATAATACCCCGTATTTTTTGTCCGAATTTGTGTAATAGATACCGTATTATGCACGTTTACGTTTTTACACGTTTTTTAAAAAGTCAATGTTTTTTAAAACGAATTTTTGACCGTTTTTCGGTAATAATACCGAATAAAACGCGTACGTATTAAACTTTGTTTAATTCCTGTACCGTATTTAAGTAACTACTATGGGTGCACCTAGGCGATGGGCATGTCTCATCCGAAAGACCCAGACGCAGCAGATTCTAAAAGGCGCGCCCCATACCTCGCCTTTTGCCGCTTTTTGCGCATCTGAGAGGTGTTCGCCTCTGACGCCTCTGAGAAGATGTCTGCTTATCTTTGTTTTTTTGGCGATTCACATACCTAGTTCGAGCTTGGCGATTCACTTATCTAGTTCCAAAGGTCCGTAGGTATTATATATTGATGGGGTGAGGTTCCCTGACTCCATGAGAGTCAAGTTTTCTCTAATATTCTGCCTCTGCTATGCTTCCACAGTTCCACTATCTCCTATCCTCTTTCTTCCGCTCCTATCTAACGTCGCAGGTAAGTTTTTCTTTTTTTGTTTCCTTTTATTCTTTCTTTTCTTTTTATCTTAATTTCTTAAATTATCAAACAGTTTACATTATTTATAAGTAAATATATGGCCATATATCATTCTGCCCTAAACCCTAATCCCAATAACATAGTTTATAAATTTTAAATAATAATAAAGGTAGTTTGTACATTCAGATTGTTTAAATTTTTTACTTTAGCAGTATAAAACTACATTTTGGAGTTTTACGATTCAATTTTATGATTGGCTTTAGGTGTTTAGTGTGTTTGCTGCTACTGTCTGAATCAGCATTGGGTTTCTCTTAAGGTGTTTATTAGATTGTTTAATGGTTTAATGTATTTTGGTGATGTTATCGTTTTTTGAGAAGAGAATTAGTATAAATATGTTTTACCAACGTTATACAGTTAAGTTCCGTGAGGCGTGCACCTCACCGCCTAGCGCCTCACGCCTCGGGTAAATCAATGAAATCGCCTCAAGCCGCCTTGTGCCTTTTAAAACTAAGATCTTACTTTTGTGGTGCATTATTGCATTCACCATGTGGTTATTCGATTCAAGTGGACAATTCATCTCCCATTTTTGCCTTGCCCATTGCCGTAGGAGAATATATATTTCTGATTAATACTCCCTTCCAACGGAACTTGGATAGGTTGAAAAATTCATTTGAATTACTGATTTCTTAAGTGCGCGAGAGCCAAAAGCCTGAAGAATTCTGAGATTATCTTTCTTTCGTGTTCTTATTTCTGAGTTTTGAGTTATGAGTTCCAAATGTAGAACTGAGTACACATTTATATTATTATATAGTAACTGTGAGATCTTGGAAAGCGTCATCGAATTATAGGGCTGGTATAAAGTCTTGGTGAAAACACTTTTATGGAATTGCCTTTAGTACGATGCAGCCTTCTCTAATGTCTTCTCCCAAAAACTCATGTACCATACACCTTTATTTTTCAAGTACATGACTGGCCTTAACAAACAACTAGAGCAATACGAAGCAAAACAAAGGGAAGGTAAGACTATACCTCTAATGTAAGTGTAATATGTAAAGAATTTGTATAGTACTGGTGCCAGGCTTTGGACATTCGTGCACTATGAGAACCTTGTCATAAATTTCATTTTTAGAGATTAATGCATTCTGGTAATGCAAATTTTGTGTATGCTGCATTGACCTTAATGGGATAACTCTACTTTGCAGATAAAGAGCTTGATATTATTGAAATGGCAGTTTATGGAGATGTTGTCAGGCCTGGAAAACAATGCCGTTGCAGAACTATCGACGAAGTGTTGGGAAAACACAAGCCCAAGGACCACACAGCTGCTTGTACATTGCCATATGACACTCAATCCTTATAGCATGCAATGATTTACAAACAGCGTGAACTCTCTAATCATAGTTTTCCTTGGGGCATAACTTGCAAAAATTGGTTTTGCAGTATACAGCTAACTCTTGTTCACCAAGTTTCCAAGCCTAACTGGTAAAAATGTCTCCTGATAATGGTCACCATTCCATTTCTAATCTGAAACTTACAAAACGTATTTTCCTGCAATATTTTTTTTTATTTTTTCATCAATGTCTCGGGAATGTTGTTGTTTCCATCAATATCAAAATGTGGAGCAATATGTCCAAAATATTAAAGCTCTCATAGCTACAAATATACTGATATTTTTATCCTTGTTTGTTTGTGATAAGTTTGTGGTTATTACACATGCTTAATTGTGACAACTTTTTATTGTTACTTTTTTATTCGAATCATGCAGTCACAAAAGGTGCAATACAAATTTCGAGCCATAAATAACATCAGAAATAATACCAATTACTTTGTAGTTTGTATATTAATGCTACTACTAATAACTAGCAAACACTTGAGAAACTTATAATGCCCTTACTATCATTTTATGCTGCAACAACTTGCTGCATACATTTAATTTTACCGAGCACATACAGACAGAGTTAGGGGTGGGAAAAATCGAACCGAAACTAGGAAACCGACCCGGACCGAATTATGACCCTGGTCCGGGTTCTTTCTTTTGAACCGGTCCGAATAAAAAAAAAGCCGAACAGAACCTGAAAGTTCGGGTTCATTAATGTGCCTTAAAAATTAAAATCAATAACCTGATCCAGACCGATAAAAACCCGAAACAATTAGCTTTAATATAAAATCAATATAATTTACAAATATAATTTATAAATAACTCCTAACATATGATTATAAATTTATAATCATGGTGGATAAAAGATGAGTTAGTAACTTTTAGTGATTACAAATGTGTTCAATCCGCTTATCGTATGATCATGAAAATATATTTATAGTAAGTTTAGTCACATTTTTATCCATAGGTTTTATTTCGTACTTCGTAATATTTTTAGAAATTAAAATCTATATTATTTATTTATATGCATCTTAAAAAATATTAAGATACTTATCTTCTTTGGATTTGAAGTGTTGGTGATTTTGGAGACTAATATTTGTGTTATTATTCGCGGTTTGTATTTTTGATCAAAACCTATTTGAAATATAAAATGACAATGAGATGATTTTACGTTCGGGCATTAACCGACCCAATCCGAACCCAGACTACCGAAAACCCGACTCAGACTGAATATACTGGGCCTTGTTCCAGTCTTTAATTTTCATAACCTGAAACCTTACGGGCAATTTCCGAGTTTAGCAATAACTCAATCCATACCGGATCGATCCCACCCTAGACAGAGGGACATCCATCTAAATCAATATGATAATCAAAGCCGTTAAATAAATGCATCGATCAAAGTTGCTAAGAAAATTAGTTGACCTTTAATAGCTGAGTGCCAAATATTAGGATGACTTTTTGTATGTGGCTATTGGTGAGTAAGCATCAGTCGTCCGAATTTAAGGTGCTTAGTTTAATTTATTATAGTGCACTCATTATATAGTTAACTCCCACCTCATAATATTTAAATTAGGATTAGCAATTAAAAGTATTACTCCGTATATTTTAAATCTACACTAAAGCTCCATAAAACCGCAAAAATATACATGGGTTTTTCCTTTTAAAAACATATTTTGCGTGGTGAATTGTGTAATGATCAAGTAATGTTGAAGTTTACTTTCTGATTGAGTTGGTTGAAATTACTGTAAAAAATCATTTTAGCTATTTTTCATATAATTTTTCTTTATTTTATAAATAAAATATACTTTAGATATTATTTTTTACGTAATTCAACAAATTTCATGAATTCAAACGTTTTAGCAGGGATTTGATCAATTTCAGCATATTTAATTCATTTCAGTGTTATCAAATGAGCTGATAATAAAAAAAGGGATAAATTATCTTCAAGAATTCATTTGAATGCCTTCCCAATTGAAGTTTTAGTTCAAATTTGATATGAGTAAACTAGATTTAATGAATAAGATTCATCAAAAAATTCATCAAAAAATTCCACCGGGAACCGCCCCAAATAGCGTCGGCCGGACAGAGCATCCTAAATATGACCTTATTTGACATTTTTTTTCAAGTTTGAGGCCCTATCTCACCTTTATCCCATAAAAAATTATTTTATTACACCGACCAAAAAAGTAAATTCACTATAAGAATTATGTCTGAGGAATTTAAAGTTAGATGGAAAGAGTTTCAAAACTCGTATGCAATGACTACTTTTTATATTTCTAGATTTCAAAATTTAATTTTCTAATACGAAGTAAAAATGCTTTTGATAGAATTGAAAAAACTATCAATACAAACTACTTTATTCATAATATAAACATTTTTAGAGTATAACCAATTTTCTATACCATATTAAACAATGTGTCTAATGTGTGGTGTAATCCTAGAAGGATTTGCCGATGCTGATTTGAGGGGCTTTTATGATTCCAGGAAGAGCACTACGGGGTATGTATTCACTATTGGAGGTACGACAATCAGTTGGATGTCAGACTACAAAAGAGTGCGGCTCTTTCAACCACAGAAGCAGAGTATATGGCCATTGCTGAAGCGGCCAAGGAATTGATCTGGTTGAAGAACTTTCTTTCGGAGTTGGGCTTGAAGCAGGGAGATTGCGTTCTATATTGTGACAACCAGAGTGCTATTCATCTCGCTAAGAATCCGGTGTTTCACAGCAGAACAAAACACATCAAGATGCGGTATCATTTCATTCGAGAGTTGATTGAAGATGGTACTATAAATTTGAAGAAGGTCCTTGGTACGAAGAATCCAGCAGAAATGCTAACCAAGGCGGTGACAACGGAGAAGTTAAAGCTTTGCATGGCTTCAACGGGCCTTCCAGATACTTGATGAGAAGGCGTGAACGAGAGAGAGAGAGATCAGGGGTTTTACAGAGGATACATGTTCTTGGATGGCAGATGATTGTTGAACAAGCCTCCAAGTGGGAGATTGTTGAAGGTGGAGCCTTGTTTTGAATGTTAGAACAGTTACCCGACCGGGTATGTTGATCGAAGCCTAGACCTGGGAACTCACTGGAACGTGATACCTGACTGGGTAAGGAAATTTACCCGACCGGGTGAGTGGAAGGTTTTAGCTTCTGTTTTGGTTACCCGCCCTGGTATCGACCCGTGCATGCTTTCTGAGGAGATACCCGACCGGGTACAGAAGGGTACCTAACCGATCTGCGGGTTAATTTTAATTACGGGCTTAATTTTGGGCCCGCGGCTCTTAATTGCGTTTAGGTTTTCTTAAACCTATTTAAACGACTCTTATGTACTTGTAAACCCTGACATCGACATAATAATACACTGCTCTCTCTTGTTCGACGTGGACTAGCACAATCACCCGATTGTGTGAACCACGTCAATTCTTGTGTTCTTGCTCTTTAATTTATCGTTTGCTTAACCTAAAACGTAACAAGTGGTATCGGAGCTATGGCTGACGAAGGGAAGGTTAAGATCGATAAATTTGATGGTCAAGATTTCGCTTTCTGGAAGATGCAAATTGAGGATTATCTGTTAGTATATATGTCCTAGTGACAATCACCTTTTAGAGACATATATACTTGATCACATTCAGTTTTATATATTTGATATATACGGTATTACACATTGATGATTAAGTATTTCGATTGTCAATATCTTATTCATAATTGTGTTCCCTTGGATTTATGTTGTCAATAAGTAAGTGGGAGCTTATATGATAGAACATAAGGTCCTAAAATAGCCCCAATCAATGATCATCAAGAATGGGATATTGATGATATGCGATAAGATTGGTATGTGGACTGCATCATACTTTTAGAAAGTATAGTTGATCTCACGACTATGAGTTCCTGTAATTCATGATGGTCACATAGATATTTTAGAGAATATTGGCATACCCACCGAGAAACCATTTGATAAGTTCTATTCATGTGTCTATGGGATTATCGGCGTGTAGAGTAGTGTAATAGTCCTCCGACTTGAGGTCAATACGTACTACATGTGCGGAGTGATGTACTTTGACCATGACCAATGCTTGCACTCCAATCGGGGTAGATACGGCATGTGTTGGGTGCATCACGAAGCACATGGAGTAGTAGTTGAGCAAAGAAAGGATTCATTCCTCATAATAGATTAAGAGAGAACATTCTACTTCTCATATCTAGATGGATCATAAAGTCATTGGCCAATGCAAAGATATATTCGTTTTGGATATCGAATATGATCGTTATGGATCATCTAGAAAGATTGAGAGACAGAGACTGAGTTATTGGGATAGACACTATATCATGTTCTAGACTTAGTTGAATGTTCGCTGAATGAAAGGACCGTATCACTATGAGCTCTATATTACAGGGAGTTTGTATAGTCCTCGCAAACGTCCTTATATATTAAGTTTGTCTGGAGAATCGTCTAGGGATTCGCTAAGACCTTAATTAGATTAGTGCTTAATATATAAGGCCCTATGGGTCACACAACAAGTGATTATACCTTCCGATTGAATTGTTAGAAGGAATTAAATATTATTAATTGGATTAAATAATATTTAATTCGTAATACTGAAAATGAATTAAATATTAATTAGATTAAACATATTTAATTCATGAAGCTGAAGGAGAGTTCTATTTGATAGAATTAATTAAGTAAGATAAATTAGATTTATCATACTTAAATAAGATGTATTTATTATTAAATAAAGTAGATATTTTCTTTTGTAATTTGGAATTAAAAGAAAAGTAAATAAAATAAATATTAATATATAATAATTAGAAAGTGGCGTGCATCCACATCTCAATTATTATATATTAATATTTATTTTATTTACTTTTCTTTTAATTCCAAATTACAAAAGAAAATATCTACTTTATTTAATAATAAATACATCTTATTTAAGTATGATAAATCTAATTTATCTTACTTAATTAATTCTATCAAATAGAACTCTCCTTCAGCTTCATGAATTAAATATGTTTAATCTAATTAATATTTAATTCATTTTCAGTATTACGAATTAAATATTATTTAATCCAATTAATAATATTTAATTCCTTCTAACAATTCAATCGGAAGGTATAATCACTTGTTGTGTGACCCATAGGGCCTTATATATTAAGCACTAATCTAATTAAGGTCTTAGCGAATCCCTAGACGATTCTCCAGACAAACTTAATATATAAGGACGTTTGCGAGGACTATACAAACTCCCTGTAATATAGAGCTCATAGTGATACGGTCCTTTCATTCAGCGAACATTCAACTAAGTCTAGAACATGATATAGTGTCTATCCCAATAACTCAGTCTCTGTCTCTCAATCTTTCTAGATGATCCATAACGATCATATTCGA